ACATGTACTGTAAATAAAGGTGAGAGAACATTACCTAGTTTTAATATGCAGCTTGCTAAAAGCAAAGTAGATTTTTGATCATAATAATAAATATGAGTTATAATGTGGAGGCTTGACTATCGGGAAAACTTTGAGCAAAAATATTGTTTTACAACCTAACCCTGTACCTATCTTAATGTGCTGACAAAATGTTTTATTGAGGCGTGAAGCACCTTGTTACTGCACAGAATAAAATACCTCCTTGGCTGATTTTTCTTTTCTTTTATTTGGCCACTGAAGTGGGCAATATGGCAATAACAGTGATTTCTGTTTACAGTAAATGAAAGTGGTTTCTTGGTGATAGTTTCTAGAATATTTGTAGCTGTACTTTATTTCTGCACTCATTTCCAAGCAGTCAGCCTGGTATGTTTTCTGTGTTTGTTTGTTTGTTTGTTTTTGTCTGAAGTTTAGTGACATTGATCCGCCAGCCCTCAGAAGTGGTTCGTGTTCCTCTTCACCAGCAAGGGAACAGGTGTGCTGCACTAGGGAAAAACAAGGCTGCACCTGCCACACATTCCTTACCATTTACTTACCCGTTCTTTACCATGAATGCATGTTCTGCTGCTGGAAGTGCTAATCCTTCCCAAGCACAGGTAACTCCTCTGCCAAGTTCCAGTGCTGATGGTATTGACTTCTCAGGTGTAGTAGAATTCTGTGGTAGAGTGTGGCTGGGTTTGAATAGGGATGATCAGAATGATCTGTAATGCAATTTATTTATTTATTAATCTTTAAGACAATCAAGTCACTTTTGTGGCATTTGTAATTACGTGTGTCCCAGTAATAAGCAGTAGGCCATCAGATTTCTTTTTTTCTAGAGTTTATCAGTTTATCCTCAGTTTCATCTGTGCAAGACAAGAAGGAGACCATTTTCTGTAGTTCCTTTCTAATTCATTTTGATGATAATAAAGAGATTTCCCCCTCTACAACTTACAGTAACCTCTGAAGCAAAAGTGATAGCGTGGCACTGAGAAATGTCAGAGGTACCCCCAAAATTCATCACTCTGTCAAAACCCCATGGTTGTGTGTATTTGGGAGTTGTTCTGCCTGAAGAAGTAATTTAAGAAGCTAACAGAAAGATAACAAAAGAGTCTCTTTTGTTTTATTGTATATGGTCCTCTAAGTATTTCCTTTTTGTTTTCACAGACCTGTGGAACATCTTGCACTATTTTGGAAGCTGCCAAACATCAAGACCTTGGGATACCCAAGACATTCCCTTTTCTCTATCCGGAAGTTGAATCCACAAAACAGACAGTAGGTGCTATAAATAAAGCTTTGCCTGAGGAAGTTTGGATTAAAGTTGGAGGTAAACCATTTATTTTCTTTGCATTTAGTTTTCTCTTGGTCTTCAAATCTAGATTTTTTTCTGAATTTGTGTCTTTTCTGTAATTAATATGATTTTAATGAATGTGGGAAGTGAGGTTTTTATGGCAGAGATGCTCAATTGGCAACATGGGGCTAGATTTCTCCACGAAACTTCAACACTTCGGAGTTCAGTTATACTTTCAAAATTGTTTAGCACTTCTGGCTTGAAATGAGGAGACGTGAGGTTACAAAGTACCTTTGAAAATCTGGGCCTTGGGTCAGCAGCTGGTTTCTTTAGAATCATAAAATTAAAGGTTGGAAAAGACCTCCAAGGTCATTGAGTTCAGCCTTTCACCAAACATCACCAAACCCCACGGCAGAGGGGAACCTTTGCCCCCAAAGTTGATCCAGCAGACTCAGTCAGTATCAAACTGAGGAACATTTTAGGGGCTGCCTCAAGTGCTCACCAAGGGCAGGCACAATCTCATGGGCTCTCTGAGAAAATAGAAGCTGTGTGGATTTTGGAATAGCAGGCAGTGACTTAGGTCTTCTGCTGTAAGAATCAATGTAGGCTGGCAGTAAAGCTTCAGATTATTCCACATAAATAAAGCACCCAAAAAACTTTCCATGATCACTATTTTCAGGTTAGTGAGAGAGTAATAAATAGGTTATTCTTTTCATCTTTATTTTTCCAACAAGACACCTTATGCAAACAAGCCATTAACAGAAGTTGCAGCCGAATAAATCCGTTGGATGCAAACATGGATCGCAAACCCCTCGGTGAGATGAGGAACACCCGGGACAACAACCAGAGCACTGCAGCTGCCCAGGGCCCCTGGCAGTCAGCACAGCCCAGCTCCAGTGTGCAGGGACAAAGTGGGTCCCAGGATGGAAGCACCCAGAGAAGGGAAAGGCACAACCGCCTGGAGAGAGACAGGAGGTAATTCTGGGAGCACGGGCCATGAAACACATCTTGAAGCCTAAAATTCTGGTACTGCAATACTTTGATTAACCAGAGTAAATGTAAACTTGACATATTTTGTTTTAGCTCCAAGAAAAAGCAGTGCAGAAGGTGAGGGTTTGGTGTTAGAGAAAAAAAAAAAATCTCTGTTTCATTGTGGTTGTCTTAGTGTTTTTACTCTGTAAACAAATAAAAAGAGATTTCCAAACATTTCACCCATTCTGTGAAGATAAAGTGACTTGTGTGTAGCAAAACTAATACCCAAAGCCTGTAGCAGTCCCCAAAGTCTATGGCTGGTAGCACATGTGAGTAGTCCTCCTGTTTTCTGTATTTTTCCCTTCCCTCTGGCCCGTGGTTGATAATTTGGGTGTTTGCCTGCAGGCGCAGGATCCGGGTTTGTTGTGATGAGCTCAATCTCCTCGTTCCCTTCTGCACGATTGACACTGACAAGGCAACAACTTTGCAGTGGACAACTGCATTCCTCAAGTACATTCAGGAAAGGCACGGCGACTCCCTGAAGCAGGTTTGAAATCTCATTTCATTTTTGGGCTTGATAAAAATGGGAAATGTTTAAAAGCTGTCATAACGAATAACTGAAATGCAAAACTTCTGCTTTGATGCTGTTTGTGGAGGACCCACTGTATCCTTGAACCTTCCTTTAAATTTTCGTTTTTTATTTCTTTCAGCTGTTTCAGCTCACTAGTGAGAAATGACAGGCTGTCCTCAGTCAGTGTTTTCAAATCAGATTTTAAAATTAATTTTTTTTAGTTACCCCATTCCTGAGCATGATCGTATTTGGACAACAATATAAAATTAAGGTCATCTTCAATCATTCTTCCCCTCCTTAATTTTTTTTATTTTCTAGCTCTTTCACAGGCTTCTAGTTAGTTCAGGGAGGGGGATCACAGCTACATGCCTACACTGTTTTGAGATGGTGAGCAGAGTTAAAGGGTTACATGCCTTAAAAGCAGCTCCTGTTCTCCTCAGCAGTAGTTGCAGCTCCAGAGTAATTCTGGCTCTGCCAAGAATTTTAGGAGAGTGTGTATTGGAAAACCTGCTGGTCTAGATATGGGTATGGCCCCCCTTCCTTCCTATGGAAGGCACTAATGAAACAAAAGCATCCATCTCAAGTAAATATCTGCACTAAATATAGCATTCATCTTTTGTATTTTGATTTTTTTTTAGGAATTTGAGACTGTATTCTGTGGTAAAACAGGCAGGAGACTAAAAATTGGAAGACCAGACTCGTGTGTAATGTGTCCAGCACAGGAAAACCACACAGCTATGGAGACCAAATAGCCTCACCTGCCCACCCTGAATTGTGTGACAATAGTCCAAACTGTGTTTTATTCTTTCCATTTACATCCTGAATAGAAATTTGAAAGTGTAACTTGTAAATATGTATAAATAGAAATTTAAAGGAAATATTCTTTATTGCAAATGGAAATGGAAGTTAACTACCAGCAATGGAAATCAGTGCCCTGTTCAAGGGGCTTTGGGACCAGAAGCTACAAGAAAATGTAATGACTAAGTATATTAACCCTTTAGTTATACAAAAAATTTGGTTGTCATCCTGCTTTGGGGTCTTAATTATTTGTTTGTTCTCTCTTTTTAAAAGATGATGCAGTACAGATTGGAAGAGTTGTAGAACATCCATCTGCCTGTTATTTTAATGGCTAGATGCAAACTCATTCTTCCAGTGTAAAAAGAAATGAAAGTTACCATATTATAATGCCCATTTTCCCCTTTAAAATGTAAATATTGTATTGGTTATTTGGACAGGTGCATAGTTTCTAAACTGTGCTTATTCTGAATTTTGCATGTGCATACATATTTAACATAATTAGCTCCAAAGAGTAGTGCAATGGTGTTGGCATTTTTAAATTCAGTACTATTTTTAATGTCTGCCACATAACCGTCCAACAGGTTCTCGTGTTGTTGCTTTAGACCAAAAATGGCATATTTTCAACAGTAGATATTTAAATGCACAAACTATTTTTATATTTAAAGAGAAATATGATGCTTCATTCATAGGCTTTGGCATATAGGACAGAAATAGAACTGTGTGTGAGCTGAGAGTGGTTTTATTAATTTTTTTAAATGGATGATGCTAGCAAGTTTTAAAGTATAAAAAGTTCTACCAAAATTAATACTGGTTTAAATCACGGATAAGAACAATTGTGCAGCAATTTATGTCCAAACAATCCTAGTAAAACCAGTTCTGGAAAATGGACTTTAGCCAAATTAATTTGATTTGTATAATGACACTTACAACATCACAAAGAAAAGGTTAAAAAAAAATCTCCTTTTATTTTTACAACAGTTCAAACAGGTGGTTTTGGCTGGACTTTAAAAGAGCATCCTTTCTTAGGTGGGATTCCATCACAATTACTGTGCAAATAGCTGAAGTAGAGGTCATGAAAATGCTGTTACTTCATTTCCTTCATTATCATATGGAAATATACAAAAACTCTTCCCTGGAAATTAAAATATTTACATTACTCCTTTTGCAGGATTTGCTTGCAAGAGGATTACTGTTTACTAGTCTTGGCAAATATTTGAGGTGCAATCTGAAAATTTCTAACTGGCAGCACAGACTTAAGCAATGGTCATTCCTTAGGCCAGAAGGTTCAGATGTTAAAATACAGGATATTGAAATGCCTGATTTCCACTGCTGGAAGAGGCAGCTCGGTGTCTGAGTGCACAAACCTGCAGGACTGAAGTCAGTGGGAGCAGCACCAAGGAATTCAATGGAAAAGGCTCAAACTCTTAGCAAAAAGTCGTGATCTTTAGTACAATGGGGGGTGATGGTCAAAAGGAGCAATGCTTCCTCTTGCTGGTGTCTTGAGCAAAGGGAGGAAGGAAAGGTGAGGTTGTTTAGCAGTAAAAATTCTGGAAAATAATTAGGGGGAGGAAAAGATAGTCATAAAGCATCTTTTAATTAAAGTTTTCATCTGATGCTTTCTTTTTCATAGAACTGTGTCAAAGTCTCCACTTAATAGAATAGAAGGGGCATCTGTCCTTTTAGCACTAGAAGGATTCTGTTTTCTTACAATGCACTGTTTATTTAAATATTCCTTCACTTCTTGTACTGTTGGTTTATGATTTTTTGGAAGTTGATGCTGCGACAGCTCCCATGCAAGCCGACGTGTCACATATTCCTGGAGTTCCCTGAGCCCCAGTAGTCCCAGGAGTCCCAGGATCCCCTGGCAGCCCGGGTTCACCCTGAGCACCATCACGGCCATTTTTAGTAATTCCAGGCACACCAGGTGGTCCTAAACAAGAGAGGGGAAAGATATATGAACTATTTCCATATCTTCTTTTTTTAGTATCTGTATATATGTGTTGCTTTTAGAGATCTGAATATACTTTGAGTGTCTGTACATCACACTTGTTATGGCCTGTTAAGTGCAAGGTGTTTTCAATAAATTTACCCTGAATCTGGAGTATGTGCTTTGGATTTTTTTATCCCTAATTTGGTCAAGGGATGTTTTGGCTTATTATTAACATGGATTAATGCAATTGTTTTATGGACGATTCTGAGACAATGGACTATAAATATTATAAAATTTTATGACATAAGTTTTGTGGAAGAATTTAAGGTAACATGGTTGTAAATATTTTGGCTTTGTGAAATTCTGTGAATGGAGAGCCTGCTTTTGGTGCCTGCATTTTATTCATTGTACAAGCGTCATTCCAATTAGGAAAGCTACTTTAATAGGTGAGCAAAATAAAGAATATTCTTCCAAGTTTCTAATAAATATTAATTAATCTGCATAAATTAATCTTGAATCTTTTAATAAAGGAGTCATGAGGAAGCAGGCGCCATCCTTTCCCTTCATCTGGAGAGCCTCAGAGTTGTCACACACCTTTAAATCAGTGATGATAATCTATTGCAGAGCTGTTGTCACACACCTTTAAATTAGTGATGATAATCTATTGCAGAGCTGTCCCTTCTCAGCCTTCACTTCAGTGATGGAGCATTCAGTTATTTCCCCACACTTACCCTGCAGTCCCTGGTCACCATCAGGCCCATCGATGCCTTGGCCGACAGGTCCTTTATCTCCCTTTTCACCAGTGTCACCTTTAATCACAAACACAGTTCCCACAGTGAGGAAGGGGAGAGAAGAAGAGAAGCTACAAACCCTCTGCATGCTGCAGGGATCTCTGCTTACATGGCACCCCTCAAGATGCAGCACCCCACCTAGAACTGATCTCCCCAGTGCTGAATTCAGCACAAATTCACAATTTATTTCAACGGGCATAAAAGAGAAGCAAATTGTTTGAGTCTGAACTTGCCTCTGGGTCCGGGATCACCCAGCTCTCCTGTTGGCCCTCTGTATCCAGGGGGCCCTCGAGGACCAGGATGCCCAACACTTCCCGTGGTGCCAGGAGGACCCGGGGGCCCGGCTGGCCCGGGCCGTCCTGTCATTCCAGGAGCCAGGGGCTTCCTCAGGTTAGCAGCCAACTGTGCAATTTGCTCTGAAAAAACACAATTCAACACTGCATCCCCAACATCTGCACTCTTCCTTTGGGCAGAACTTCCTGCCACTGCTCCTGGCAGAATGAAGCACTGAATCTGTCCTTTCAGCTTACCTGTAACTTTTTTTTTTTTTTTAATTAATTACATCTCCACAAACGGAGATTTTAATCCTAAATCTGCACGGTTGAATATTCGTGTTTCTAAAACCACTTTAAAGGATGTCAAATATTCTTACTAATGACACTTAAATAATTAAAACAAGCTTCCTGAAGCAAACTTTCAGAGTTTAATCTCATCCCAAACAGGGAATGAACCTCCAAAAGCAAAACTGTCACTTTGAAGGAAGAAGGGCACTCCCTGAGGACCTGCTCCAAGGAAATGAGGTGCTCTGAGGAGAGGTGAAGTTCAGAACGACACAGGTTAGGGCAGGAGGTCTCACACAACACTTGTGCCAAAGCTGCTTTCAGTGCATTTTGACCATTGCCGTGATGAATAATTTAAAAATACTAAATTTGGAACACCAAAAGACGTCCCCAATAAGGTGACCTCCTGAATAATTTCCTTACACTAGAGGTCAATGTTTTGGGCTTTTTTCCATATGAAGACGGGAAATGAACAAATCTCAGAAACCATTTTATATTCAGGATCTACTCATTTAGTAATTAAAGTCGGTTTTCTCTCAGTAATACTCACCATTTATCATTTCCCCACAGAGTTCTCTGATATGCTGTTCACTGGCCTCTTTGCCCTGCAGTTAACAGAAGAATTTGTCCTTGTAGAAACCTCCTTATCAATAACCAGCCCTGGCAGAAGCTGCAGGACACAAAACACATTTCCAGGAGCTTGGGAAGCAGCACAGGGTCCTGCATGAAGAGCAGGGAGTTCTTTCCCCTCTTTAAAAGGTGACAGCTTCCCCTCACAGCTCTGCTGTACGAAGGGTAGAGATGAATTTTAATGTTAAGCCAGATATTTAATATGGGGTTTATTTGGCCTTATTTTTACCTGCTGAAATGCAGGACCTTATTTTTTTGGATGGCATCCAAACCCCACAATCCATTTATTCACTTCACAGGGTCCCTGAGTGTGCTGCAGAAGCAGCAGGTACTTACAGGAGGTCCAGGTTTTCCTGCGATGCCAGGGACCCCCCTCTCCCCCTGGTGACCCATGGGTCCTGGATGTCCTGGGATCCCTGGTGCTCCAGCTGTCCCGTTAGGTCCTTGGACACCTTTTGGACCAAGCTCTCCTCTTCTTCCTGGCTGCAGGGAAGAATAAAAAAACTCAAAACCACTTAAAATGGAAGTCATGGTCTTTCTTTTCTCCTGGGGGTTAGTCAAGACTTTCTCCAGGTTTTCTCAATGGATCTGGATGATCCATATATTTCTTATATCCTAAGGGTGTTTCTGCATATACAGGTAATGATAAGAGGAGTCTTTGTTACAGCAAAATTTCAAACAGATTTCAATATTTTGAATGCCACAATCTCCCCTTTTTCTCACAGATTTTATAGCATGATTGTGAGGAAAGCCTGCTTCTAGGGAATGACACCAGAGCAGAGATTATTCTATAGTTATACAGAAACAATGGTTATGCTTACTCCTAAATCCTTTGGAGCATGAACCCCCAGTGTCTGACACTTACCTCTCCTTTTTGGCCAGGGGGTCCAAAGGGACCCTGTCAGAAAGAAAAGGGAAATAAGAAACAGTGATTCATTCGGAAAATGCACACCTGAAGCCCAATCTCCCAAGCTGCTGTGACATATGCAAGGCTTGGGCTGCCTTCTTTTCACAGCAGAGTTGGAGATCTTGGTGATTTATTCTAGCTGACCAGAGTGATCCATGGTTTTCTGGACCCATCTGTAATGTGAGGAGTCAACTGTACTGAATTTAAGGACACCTACCAGCTCTCCTTTGTCACCTGGGAGGCCATCTGCTCCAGCAAAGCCCTGAGAGAGAGACCAGAGTTAACTCTGCACCTACTGCTGACAGCAAGGATCACCCTGAGAGAGGTGGGGGCTCTCAGCAGCCACAGCTGCTCCAGCATGAGGGAGTTCTCTCTTCCCAAAGCTGAGCTCCCCTGCTGATGAGGGCACGTGTGGCACAAGGCAGCTGGCACGGGGACTGGGTGTCCTTTGCAACGAGCTGGCACCTGGATGAAAGGCTGAATTCACGGGATGAGAACCATGGTGGGCTGGCCATGAGACACCCACAGGCTGGCACTGGCATTCCTCGAGCAGGGAACATAAATTTCAGCTCCCCCTGCTGTGTCTTACAGAAAACAGAGTTTGCAGCCACAGGCAAATGTTGGGTGTCCCTGTTCATGGCCTCCTGAGCAGAACATCTTCATCCCACCCTCAAACTGCAGTGATGTCTTGGTGAGGAACATCCCTGTCCACTCCTGGGGACAGGAATGCAAGAGTGGCCAAAGCTCTGGTGACATCCAGCCAGGCCAGGGAGCATCCCCTTGCTGCTCACCTCCAGCCAGCAGCAGCCTGAGCAATCTGAGAGTGGCTGGGGTGACACAAATCCCTGCAGCCACTGCCTGCCCAAGGCAGAGCTGGCTCATCACAGAGCTCTATTATTAGAGCAGATAATGAACATTGTTATGGTGACTCCACAGCTTTCCAGAGGAAGTTATCCCAAGACAAACAGAGAGCAGGTTGGTCTTTCCCCTTAGCAACAAAACAGAGACCACAGTGATACTGGTAAAGCAAACCAGCAAGGCTTGCTAGGAAAGCCTCACTTTCTGCAGGAACACAGTCATGCATTAATGAAAGTCATATATTTGATGAAAACTGGCCCAAAAGCTCATTGCTGACATTAAATCAAGCATGGAAGTTGAGCAGCAAAATGTGTAAGATTAAATAAGTTCATTAGTGTGCCAAGCTTCGAGGTTAGGGTGAAATATTCCTTCAGCAGGCACATGAAGCTGAGGAAAAGCTGCACTTCTAAACTTAACTCGGGAGGAATTTGATGTGAGGAGCTCCTGCACAGATCCTTGTGGCTACAAAACACACGGGGAGGGCCTGGTATCCCACAGCATTTTCACGAGTCTCCATTAGAACAGACAACATCTGTGCAAATGCAGGGAAAATGGGACCAAAGAGGGTTTTGGTTTCTGCTGCAGAATATTTTCATTTGTGGAAGAGAAGGCTGTCAAAGGCTGCCCCTGGAATTTGGTTCAAATACCTCTGCTGACAACAGCATGAAAATTATCACTTACCTGGTTCCCCTTGGGACCAGGAGCACCAAGAGGACCCTGAAAATAAGCAAGAGAAAGAAGGCAGATGAGCTCAGACTGTCACTTCCCTGTGAATTCCTGGTGTGGTCAGACACTCACTCAGCAAGGAGTCAGAATCACTCTCCCAGCTGCCAAGTGAGAGGGTACAAATCTCATTGACACTTCCCAGAAATAAGAAGGGATTTAAGCATCCCTGCTAGCTCTGTGACACTCTCCACAGTCCCTGGTTTGTGTTGTGGGACAATTACTCAGCCTGTGATGTGAGGAGGAGCTTGGATTTACTCGTGGTATAAAACAGACATGAATATTTTCATACCACAAGGGCAAAAAGCCAGGATGGTTTTTTCAAGGCCTTATTAGACTGTCAGTTTTCCTAGGATTTGAAATTAGGTGCTCCTGATTTAAAGATTCATGGAACAACATGGCCATAGGCATAAAATACATTTAGATGATGAACTGATTATCATCACCTCAGGAATAATCCAGGCAATTTGGGAAATCCTTCCATCTTTATCTAACTGACATTCACAGAGAGACATTTTAAGCCTTATTTATGATTTTTCTGCTCCATGGAGCAGAGCCAACAAGGAGTTCAGGAGAACTCCAGAATTTTTTCTCTACTGCAAAATCTACATGTGAAATTCAGCCATTTTACCCTTCAAGCAAGATTTCTACAGCACACTCATCAATCTGGCATCTGCAAACTGATCTTTTTTTTATTTACTAGATGTAGAGATGGCTCAGCAGAACAGAATCTTTGAGGAGGACAAACACACACAACAAGGACATTTTATTTTGCTCAATTCAAGCACTAAGCTAAAAAGAAAGGGGATTTCTATTAATAAAAAATAACTCAGAAAAACAGACAATGGAGTGTAGAAATGCAAGAGTGGCTAAGACCTTATAACACCCACCTATGTTTGTTGATGGCAAAAGCAATATATTCCTTTCTGAACATTTTCATCTAAATTTTATACCTCTGACTTCACAGAGTCTCAAGGCTCCATGAAAGTTTATGGCAATAAACACAGTTCAGTCACCAAAGACTAAATCCTGTAAGGAATATTCCCTTAAAGACAAGCTTAGCCCAGAGAATTTCCATTCAAAACTCTAATTCAGTGCAGGGGTAATTCCTAGCAGCAGAAACAAGGAGTTCAGGACTGCCAGCCCTGTGTCTTCACACATTTCATCTGATCAGTTAAACAAAACTCATGGTTTTGGCCAAGCATTCAGTGCTCCAGTAGGGAGCCCAGACAGGCAATGCCCAGGTGGCTGCTGGCATCTAGAATCCTCAGGAATTTCATCATAATAAAAATCCTTAGGAAAAATATTTGTCTATTACTGCCTCAGTCAGCAACAACAGCCAAACCCTTCCCCTTGCCATATCCCACTCCAGCAAGATGGCTGATGTATTTTATCTCAACACTACTTTAGATCTTAGAGTCAAATGCACTAAACCACTCGTATTTTTCATGCCAGCAAACACATTTACTGAAATGCTGGTTTATATTCCTGACCACAGCCAGTCCAAGGGCTGTGAAAAAGCCTGTCAGTACTCAGTTAGCTCAGGCATGAGGGGATTTTGCTTTTCTTCACCGAAAAGTCTCAGTGGATCTCAGGAGAGTTTGATGAGTTGGCTGCAGCTGGGACAGGGTAATTGCATCGATCCTGTGAGTGCAGTTCTCCTTATCCACATCAGGAGCAGCAGTAAAGCAGGGCCAGCACAGATCTCTGGGTTCTGTGTGTCCCCAGCAGCACAGGCTGTTTGTTTAGGCTATAAAAACACAACCTGAGCATTTAGGGTCAAGCCAGCACCACCAGCATGCTCACCACTAAACCATGTCCTCAAGGGCCACATCCACTCCTTGTCTGAGCACTTCCAGGGATGGTGGCTCCACCACTTCCATGGGCAGCCTGTTCCAATGCTTTACAACCCTTTCTGTGAGAAAAAATTCCTAATATCGAATCTAAACCTCCCCTGGTGCAGCTTGAGGCCATTTCCTCTCATTCTGAGCGACCAACAATCACATCTTAGAGTAACTACACTGAACTTCAGAGCCAGAAATAAAACCTAAATTATTTTTTATTGCTTTAAGTACAACTTTTCCCCTCCCTCTGCTTGGAGCAGCTCCCTGGGCACTTCGTGCAGGGGCCTCTTCCCCTCTGAATGTACAATTTTCACCACGGCAAAGCCCTGAATGCAGTCAAGAGCCCCACAGCTCCACAATAACACTCCTGTTTCACACTTCCAGCTCACAGTCACTCCAAGAGGTTTTTTTAAACCTGCCTGGAGCCAGCACAGAAGGGCCATTGTGGAACCCCTGTGGTGCTGCTGCAGTTGCTTACACAGAAAGCAACTTAAAGCTTTTAAAAAAAAAACTTTCACCTTAAAGCTGGGGAGGAGGGAGCTGGTGAACACATGGCTCCTGTTCTCCTGCAAGCTCCCAACAAATGCTGTTCACTTTGCCCTGATGGCTTCTCTCAAATGAGAATGAGCTCATTTAAATGAAAAGTCACATTTGTTGTGAGGTGGGATGCCCAGGTGTTTTACTGTTCAGAAAGAAAAGTCACTGATAAAACTTTAAATTAAAAAAAAACCCAGAGAGTTTAATCAAGCATCTGAGTAACAAAAATTCATGAATCATTTCTCTTGTGCTCCTGGGGAGTGAGGCTTTGGTAGAATCAGTTTAAGGAACAGGAAAAAATCCCCAAAACTCTTTATTCTGGCTAGGATAGGGTCTGCAAATCACTTTTAAATAACCCAGCCTGTCTGAAAATAGTGGGAGTTTCTGAAGTGAAAGAGAAAGCAGGAACAGAGGGAATCCCTGCCCTAAGCTCTGACTTGGCAGCCTCAGGGGAGAGCCTGGGACACCCAACACTCATCACTACACCAGGTTTTGGGACCCCCTTATCCTCTAAATCCCCATCCCCAAGAGGAATTAGTGCCAGGTGCCTTGTCCTTACCCTGTCACCTGTCTCTCCACGGATCCCAGTCGGGCCAGGAAGGCCAGGCTCACCACTGGCACCTTTGGGCCCCTGTTGGGAAAACAACAAAACCAAGCTACAGCTTAGAGTGCCAGAAACCTGCACCCTTCAGCACCCTGGAAGCCTCCATAACACATTCAGAAATGTTATTTTTGGATGATCTCTCTCCCTTTTCCCCCAGGACCTGAGGATCATTTGTGTTGGTTGGTACAGCTCATTCCAGCTTCTCTCCTGGTCCACAGCCAAGCTCAGGCACCTGCCAAGGTGCTCCAACATTTGGCCTGGGTCTTTCATTAATAATCCTCTTAAAATTAATAAACCTTCAATATCTGTGCTCCCACAAGTGATGCTCCCCTCAGCCAGTGCCAGTGGGGAGTGGAGAGTCCCACAGCCTTGGAGAAAGGAAAGAAATATTGGAGACCCAATGCAGCAAAAGGTAGGAGGAGTTCACTGAAGAAATCCAGGCAGAGTGGACCAGATCAAGGAGAAACTGAGGTGTCTTTACGACAATCAAACTCAAAAAAAACATGAAAAAATTTGGGTTGGAAGGGACCTTAAAACTCAAAGTCTGTTTGTTCCAGCCCCTGGTACAGGCTGGACACCTCCCACCAGACCAGGCTGGCCCATCCAAGCTGGCCTTGGACACTTCCAGGGATCCAGGGACAGCCACAGCTTCCCTGGGCACCCTGTGCCAGGGAACAGGCTCAAAACTCAACAATCTCCTCTGCAAACAAACACTAAATAGAATTTGTTCTTGCAGGCAGCTAATCTGGCCTTGTGCCCTTTCTACCATCCCGTGCTAATGAAGGTGTCACACAGGTTCTGGCAAAAGGAAAGACATTTCTTCCTTTCCCCCACTGCCATCAGCCAAGTGCCTGGCTGTGTCTGACCTGCCTAAACACCGTGCCCAAAATCACCTCTGCCATCACACTGACCTGGAAACCTCGGACACCACGGGCTCCTATGGGGCCTTGGAGGCCAAGGGGTCCCTGCAAAGAGAGAGATCAGCTTTGGTAAGGAGAGAATGTAGGGTCAGGTAAGTCAGCTGTGCCATTGACCTGGCAGAGTTCTGTGCTGCTGCACTTTGCCCCATGGCACTGCTGCTGAGCCACTGCAAAGTGGAGCTTGGTGTTTGCTGAGCTTTGGTAATTACATTGTTATTAACAGAAAGGCTTATTTGGATAATCAAAGCTTAAGAACATGCCATGCTCATGAGTAGTCGAGATCAGGGACAGCAAGAAGTGGCAGTATGATGGAGCATAAACAACATCCATTAGAGAGATCTGCTGTGCCAGTATTATGCTTTTAATTGATTGCAAGGAACTACTGAAAAACATGTGCTGCAGGCCCTTGGAAATGAAAAATGGCAATTGCATCCATTTGCTTGGACATCCTTGGTTCCAGCAATGTACAAAAAGGCAGCAGTTTATGCTGTCAGAGCAGGGGCTTTTAAGAGCTCACCAGAAAGAACATGAACGTTACCATTAGGAGTCTCTATTGCTTTCTCCTGAGAAAAATCACATATCCAATAAAGATCTTGGATAAAAAAAAAAAAAAAAAAAACTCAAAGTAATTTAGGCATTTAAATCTCATTTTGTAAACTGTCTTCTTGAAATAGATGCCTTCAGCAAGCTTCTGTCACGAGGCAGGGCTGCTGCTTTGGCTCCTTTCACTGCCATCCCTGCTGGGTGGAGCATTCAGGGGCACAAACCAACCTCAAAGTGGCCACTGACATAAAGCAGCATCAGCCTCAAAAAGCTGAGCAATTGCTCAGGTATTTCTTTGGTTACTGGTCTCCACTTTGTTTTCTGCTTGTAATTCAGTAAGGAACTTTGAAAGCTGTAAATACAAAGCTTTAGGAAAGTTGAGTTAAATTGCATCGAAAATGACACTGCTGAGCTGCTGGTGGGAGCTGGAGGGACCTGACAGGTTCTGAGAAACCCTTGGTACTCAGAGCTAAAAAAACCCCAAATTGTCAAACAGCCTTAACACTGGAAAAATCCTGCACCTCTCTTGGAACAGCCCAGTCTTAACTTATAAATTATGATTCTAATAAAACAAATCAGAAATGAGAAGCCCAGGTTAGACATAACCATGGGTTCAGCTACAACTGCACCCCTGTCAAAACTCTGCACCAGCACAATTAGCTCAACTGCTTTTGCTTTTTGGCTGTAATAATGTGGTACCTTTTGTGAGGCCAGCCACTTTGATGAAAAATTGCAGACATAAAAGCAAACATTATTAATACAGTTTATTTCTAAAGCTGATTTCCCTCTCCTTGGAAGTTTAGGCAGTAGCTGCTCACAAACAATAAATCATGCAGTTCAATTTTCTTCCAAGTGGCACGTACCAGAAATCATATTAGACTTGCTGTAGGCTCCTGGATTTCAAAATGAGATTAAGATGGGGGGAAAAAAAAGAAAAATAAAAAAGCCCAAACAAAACCACTAGAAGATCAGATCCAGCCCCAACAGCAGCACTAGCTGGGGAGTGACAAGACGAAAAAGATACCAAAGCATTTTTAGTAGTGGGCTCAAAATCAGGACTTTTCCCTCCTTATATTATTTGTTATAATCTCTGTTATTGAGCAGGGACACAGCAGGGAGCCATGCAGTTATTCCCAGTTTTGTTGTATGTATGGCTTCAGGTTTTGCAGGGAATCCATTGCTCCAAGGAAAGGGATGCAGGACTGGGGAGGATTTCAGGTGGCCAAGTCCATTGCAGCAGCTTCCCAGAGCTCTGCTTCACTAATGCCTCACTTCAGCAGAGGCAGAACCTTCTTATTCCTTTGTAACGAGGAGCTTTCTGCCTGCCCAGTCTCTCCTGGCAGACTGTGGCAGCTCCACAAACCTCCTGGACAGCTGCAGTTTGCTGTGCCAAGTGAAATGGGAGGCATCACTTGGCATTTGCACGGAGCTGTCAGTGAGAACAGGATCTGACACAGCTTGGGGGAGGAATTTCTCTGCTGCCAAAGCTCCCCAGAGACTCCACTGAGAGAGAAAATGGCCTTTTACTGCAGCCAGAGAGTGAACCCCACACACAAACCCTGTACTTACAGTTGCTCCTCTGGGTCCTGGCAGACCTCTCTCACCAGGAATGCCAACATCGCCCTGGCAGGGACACCAAAGTCAGCTGTGATATTTAGGAGTCACAAATCCACCCTTCCCACCCTCTGGGACATATTCCTGGATCCCAGGCTGTTCAGTGCCAAGCTCCTGCCCCACTGGCCCATCTGCCAGCCCACAGCTGATGGGTTTTGCCCCATACCAGTGCCCAGCACCCTGCCCAGCCAGCTCCCTGGGGAGCTCCACACCCCAGTGTGGAATGCCTGGAGTGCTCAACCCCATGGGATTGCAGGTGCTGCATCACTGGAAGATTTATTTATGCAAGGAAGCAGCAGGTGAGCTCCAGCTCCCCAGTTGGGTTTCAAACTCACCAGCAGAGCCCATGCTAGGAGGAAATTTGGGACACTTACAGGGATGCCTGGCTCTCCTGAGGGACCTGCCTCTCCCATCTCTCCAGGGCTGCCCTGCAGAGCACAAAGCAAACACTCAGTTAGGGCATCACTTCAGGGAGCCATTTCTGTCCTACCTGAGGCAACAAAAGGAGGAGGGTGTTAAAACCTGGATCAGGAAATTAAAACAGCTTTAAACTTTTACAGATTTAAGCAAAAACTCCCAGCACCAGGGAACAGGTGATCTGCACACTCTCTCCTGGCACCAGTGACCAGGGAGGGCTGCCAGCCCCAGGGCAGTGTCCCCATGTCCTACATGAGACAGGAGTGCCAGGACATCCCATCACATTCAGTCCTGCACCACCTTCCTGCAGTGTGCTCTCCTCCCTGAGGATTAGCAGCAATAATGATGCAGAGGGGAAAATTCATAAAGGAGAGGGACAGGGGGAAAAAAAGGCACAGCTTTGTGCTGGACTGCTTTGGTCTGCCTGAGATTTTCTTTAATCTCACAGCTAGGTGTCAATCTAAAGCTCCATGGAAATTTTTCTCCTGAGGTGAGGGAAAATCTGCAGAAGGCAAGATGAGATCATTCTGCTCCTGCTGGTGCTCAGCCTTTTGATTCCCAAAGATCAAGCCTCCTCCTGGGACTTTGATAAAAGGATGAGGTTTTCTAAGCCACTGATGACTCTCCTGTGTATCTGCTGTGTCTTTACTGAACCAGGTGTCAGTCCAGTTATTTTACCTAATTCCTGCTCTTCAGCCCAGCAGAAATACAGAAACCATCACTTTGGGGTAAGTCCTCCCAATCCCCCAAAACTAAAAACTCTTGCTGTGACCAGTTTCCCTACCAGACCCTGTCATTAGAGAGGTTCACTTACTGGTTCACCCTTTGAGCCTTTAATACCTGCTCTTCCAGGCAGACCCTGAAAAAAATGATATTAAAGCAATGTCAGAAGAAGTGAAGTTATTCAATTTGTTATTCTGGTCTGATTTGACACACAAGGAGTGACCTTTGCTTGAAGCAATGGAGGGTTTCAACTTCAGCACCTTTCACTGTGAAAATTATGACTTCAATGTCTCTCTTGCTGCCCTTGCAGCTCCATGAACACTAATCCTTGGCATGAGAGCAAAGAGCAGGAGTATACAGATAGACCAGCAGCAGCAACATTTTGCACAGCAAAAATCTCTCTCCCGGGGTGTTCAAAATATTCTGTAAATGCAGGAAGAAAGGAATACTTTATCTCTTTTAAATAGTTGGAAGTCTGAAGAGATGAAACGTTTTGCCAATAAGCACTGGAGTAAGGCAGGGACAGAGCTCAGGATATTATATCCCAGACCTCCCTCCATAAGAGATGCAGATCAATGGGATGTGAAAGAGAAAATCCTTCTCAAGTTGAGAATTTAAAGAGTCAGAGAAGCCAACAGCCAGGGAATTACTGCGTGGTGCTGCTCCAGGTGTTCTCCCACCCTGTCTGGCACACTCCTTGCTTGTCTGCATGGTAGGAAAAGTGTATTTCCTCTTGGCTTAACTAGAGCCCACAGAATGACCAGAATGACAGAATGACCCTCCCCTGTCCCCAGGCAGGGTCTCTGCAGGCACACGCAGCTGCTGGCACCCCCAGAGGTGGCAGTGCTGCTCCATACTCACAGGAAGTCCATTTGGCCCCTTCTCTCCAGGAGCACCCACGGGAGCTGCGTCACCCTGTGGATGGGGAGAGGTTAGGAGGGATCCTCCAGCACTGGGAAATGGCCTGGCACAGGCAGGGGACACATTCCCAAACAGGCATTTGTACTCTTCTCCCTCCCTGTGTGCACAGCACCGAGAGCTGCTGTGTCTAGAGGAGTGACCAGATGTTTCCCTGCTCCCTGCAGCTCCCAGCCTTCCCTGGCACACACATTCAATATTCCTGCAGGAACACTGTTCAAGAACCAGGCAACCAGTACCTGACAGCACTTTGTCTCCAGGCTATTAAAATCAACTCTGTCAACAGCTCTGAAAAGGCATCTCTGAAGGGCTGGAGTCAGCCAGCAGGAACCACTAAATCCAGGGGCACAGCTGAGCTCACATCATATGTGCACCTTCCTTCTTTAGGGAATTCCCTTGGGACTAACTAATAGGAGAATTTCACTCTCCTTCACTAGTTACCACATTAGAAAACTTTTTAGAAGGAAAAGCTTTCCAGTCAAGCTTCTTGAGGAGCATCAATAGCCTTGCAACATTCCCAGCACAGTCTCAGGAACCTTCCCTGCAGTTTTTAGGTAGAACTTTACAAACCTTCTCACCATCGAGTCCAGGAGCTCCATCCCGCCCATCCTTGCCAGGCATTCCCTGCAATCATGGACAGCACACATTTAGGTCAGGAGGAGGCTCTGTGGTTTGCAAAATAAATTCACATCAAAGAAGCTTTTGGCAATGAGTCTAGCTCCAGTTGTACTGGGAGGTTTTCATTCACAGCAGCACAGCTATGGCTTACAGCTGGGTTTACACAGACACCCCCAGAGCAGGAGCTTGACAGCAAAGAGGGCAAGAAGCAGCTTTTATCCTATGGTGTTTTATCTCCTCATCTGCAAACAAGACAAACAGCAAGACCTGCACCCTACTTCACTGACTTACAGGTTCTCCTATGAGTCCACGAGCCCCTGGGTTTCCTTTTGGTCCAGGTTTACCCTAGAAAACAACAATAAATCCTGTGTTAACCTGTGCAAACTTGAAGATCTATAAACAAAGATGATACTCAAATTCTGTAGGGACATTTCATTCCATTTCACCTGGGTCCTCTCTGTCCACATAAACATGGAGGTTGTTTTGGGACACACCAGGAAACCAGCCCAGTGCTGGATTCAACACCTGGGAAAATTCTTGAAAATTTCAAGGGATGGGGATGTAAGATCTGCTCCCTGTGCTCCAGGCTGTAGCAGCACTTGGACATTCATTGCTCAGGCACCTTTAGTAAGAGTTAAACATCTCATTTTTGAGATGATGCTTCCATCCCTTTCAAACAAATGAAGGGGGCACAAGCCATAATGAAGCTGTGGAACAATCTTGGACTGTCACACCCCAGACTGGAGCAAAGGGTGTTTGACTGCACTTACAGTGTCACCTTTGGGCCCCCGAAATCCCTGAGGTCCTTTGCTGCCTTGGTCTCCCTGTGACAGAGGAGGAAAAAGCCATTAAGCATCTCCATCACACAGTGACAGAGATTGCTGCTCTGAGGGTGAAATGAGGAGGTTTTTGTGCTGTTTGCTGGTGTCAGCAGGGGTGTGAGCACACACAGCTCCCCCAGAGCTCAGCTGTACTTTCTCAGTTACACTCCAATTCCTGACACACTTTCTGCAGCAGGGACTTTGCCAGCAATCCCTCAGGGCAGACACCATCTTGCCCTTCATTTAATGAAGCAATTTCTTTAAGCAGAAACAGAGTGGGAGAAAAGCTTTAATATTTACTGTCTAGATCCTGCTGGGTGTAATGAAAGGTTTGGTGAGGAAGCAAGTCATTTTATTTTAGTTTGGATGAATTTCTTCTATAATTGCAGGCCTAGGGAGGGGTCCCCAGAGGGTGGTGCTGCAGAAGGAGGGGGATTGCATCCTCAATACACGGCTATTCCTGCTTGGAGCAAAAATCCTTGAGAGCTGTGGGCACCTGGACCAGGTTCAAGGGATGTAAGCTCCAAAGGAAAGGATATTCCCTTCTCCAGGGCTTGCTCACAGCTGCTGGTGCTCAAGAAAGGGCAGTGAAGCAGAGAGCAATGGAAATGTGGTGAACTTATTCTGGTGTGGGACATGGCAAAGGGAGAGGCACCATGAAGTCTGTGCCAGGTAAAATAACATTATTCTTAGTGGAGGGAAAGGGCAAAGGGAATAATCTGATGGAGAACAGATCCTGTTCACTGGCAGCAGAGCTCAGGAAGGAGGAATAAACCAGGCTGTGGAAGACTGGCATACATACAGCTTTCCCTGGAGGTCCTGGGATTCCAGGGGGGCCTCTGTATCCAATGTCACCCTACAGAGAACAGACATCATCGTGATGCTGGGCTTGGCAGAGGATGAAGTAACAGAATCCCCACCTTGTACCCCAACCTGAGGAAACACAAAGGCCCTGGACAGACACCCTGTATCTCCTGCTGGTTTCCAGGACAGACATGCAAAAAATCCCACTCTGAACAACAGGTTTTTATTTATACCTCTGGTACACTGATATCATTCATGGCCTTACTATCTTGATAACACACTTATAAATGCATGACTTCATCCAATCCAAAACCATTCAGCCTCTGGGCTGCTGGTCAAAGGACTATGACAAGAGTCCAAAGCCTCAATGAGCTGGAAATTGACCCTGTTCTCACTGAGGAGCCTTTTTGAGTCTTGAAAACCTTTGTCCATCAGTGATTCTTTGGCTTTTTCTTGTAAAGAGAAAGAAGAGAAAGTGAAATGTTCACGAAATGTTTCTTTTTTTTTTTTTTCCCCCAAGATTCTCTAACACTGTCAGTCTTGCACTTTGGTTGGAATGATTCAGTCTGGCTGGGTCTGACCCTGCCATCCCTCGGCTGTGTGTGGATCCTCCTGACTTTGGGAGGTTGTTCTGATGGAGGGGCTGCAGGGAACAGCCTACACTTTATGCCTTCACAAGTTTCCCTGTGAATTCAGTAAGGACAAGTGCCACTGGCACGTCTCACAAGATAAACTGGTGGTGGAGAGGAAAAGAAAAAAAACAGAAGTTGTTTTTTCTTACTCTGTCGCCAGCTGGACCCATTGGACCAGGGAGTCCTCTCAGTCCTCTTGGGCCCTAATTAAGAAAATAAATCAGTTCAAGCTCAATCACTGCTTGTGCAACCAAGGTGGCTGATGGCTGCACTGAGCCCACAGTGAAAAGGCCACGGGAAGGGTGGGGTTACCTGCAGGCCAACACCACCGGGAATTCCTGGAGGGCCAGGGGGGCCAGGGTTACCCTGGGAGAGAAAAATCAATCAGACAGGAGGAGAGACAGCAGGAGCCTGCAAACACACAGCCAGGGACATCCCCATCTCATTTCTCCTTGAGCTCCCTATCTCCCTCTCAGATTTCTCTTCAGAATTTTTCATTCCTCCCTGTCTCTTTGAAAAAAACACTTATTTATTTTTTAAAGTGTTTTTAAATAGTCCTCCCCCATTACTTTAAAATTGAAGTTTACCTTTTCTCCTTGTTTTCCTACTTCACCAGGCTCCCCTTTGTGACCAGTGTGTCCCTAGAAATAACAGTTATGATTATTCACATCCCAGTAGAGTAAAATGAAATTTGGTGAGACAGCTGTGAAACCTAAACCCCCACATCCCAAATGACTTCCAGGGAAAGCAGTCTGTAGGTGTGCTGTGAATGGAGATCCCTCCTGGGGGAGGTTATCCAGGTACCAGTGGCAGAACTGATGGAGTTCCAGGAAGTGCCCAGGTTTGGTTTTCCAGAGCAACTTGCACTGGACTAAGCTCATGGTCTGGATACAACTCTCAAATACAGATCAGGGACCAGAACTCAGTTCCCATCACCCCAGAAGAGGGGGATGAGTCACTCCTGAGAACCCCATACTGCATTTTTAACCTCCCTTTTTAAGTCATCTTTAATGTCTGCATCATCAAGCTTGCAAAGAAATTCATGTCCCATTGAAAGCTTTCATATAAGATGTGATTCAGTTTGTGCCTTGGCTCTCTTCCTGTTATTGTGGGAGAGACCCAGGCTAATTTAAGCCATGGCAGATGTTATTTCTCACCACAACAAAGGTCCTGTGCACCATTTGCATCATAATTGGAGAGTTTCACAGGGTCTTCCATTCCATGAGCTATGAATTTTGAGCAGTTATGCCCTAAACATTTTGTATTTGTAATGATATTTATGACTCAGTGCTGAGACCAAATAGACCAGGGAAAGGTCACTTCAGGAGGAATTGAGAGCATTTCCCAGGAGTTCTCCCACTCACTGCCAGCTTCTAAATCCTGCTAAAACAATTTGAGTCACTTTTTACTTTGTCTCACTGCTGGAGTCCATAACTGCAAAGACTTCATGTGAACCATAGAGGGGACAGAGGAGGAGATGTTTAACTCCTGAGGGCTGAAACCTTGAATTTATGTACCACAGTCCACCAACTAAACACAAATCTGCCTGGTGCTACACTGGCTATAAAAACAACAATTAAATTGTATTATATTAATTATGTAAGCTAAGCTATGTTTTGCAGTTTAAAATGGTGAGGTTTTTCTAGTCTCAGGCCTGGAAAGGCAGCACCTGGCTCTTGAGGCAGCCCTGAACTGCTGCCCCTGTTTGTTCCTGTCCCTCAGCTCTGCCCCACTGGGATTGCAGGGGTTTTTAATCTATGCCAAGGGTTAAATTTCATTTGTAGGAATAAATTCAAATGCATGGCTGGTTTGGGAGGTGTGGAGCCTATATATAGAGACTGTAGATACAATTTAATGCCAGGGGTTCATAGTGGTGTTTATTTTGGGAGACAAATCCAGGTGTTGCAGGTGATGTTTCCTTACCTTGAAGCCTGGCATTCCTGGGGGGCCTGGGGGACCTGGTGGGCACAGAGCTGGGCACTGCAGGGAACAGAAAGATTTTGGTTTAACAGGCACACAGCACATCCAGGGAGGCTGGTTTCATCCACTAGGTGAAAAAGTCATGTGGATTTTGGCTCTAAATTCACTAAACCGAATGGAATCAAAGCATCATGGATTGACCAACATTTCCCTATGGCTCCTAGAGGCAACCCACAAAATAATGATTTATGGATGGCCTGCTCCACTTTGAACGTGGACTGTGAGACTTTCTGAAGGCTGACAGTGTCCACAGTCCAAAATACTGAAGAACCCAAGTTTCCCAGTGAAGCTGGATCAGTTTCTTTAAATGATTTGGACCATATTTAATCCTCTGCATTAACTGGCCCCTATTGATTTCCTTTAGCCAACTCCTTAAGTGAAACAAAGACATTGAAGGACACCAATAAAACCCCAATACCTATAAGCTGATATCTGCATTGGGAGAATCCCTGGTGGGAACTCCAGCTTCACTGGGAACAGATCAGAACATGCATGGAAATTTCATGAGGAAAAGGCCATTCTCTTGAAACTTTGCAAATAGCTCTTAATTGTTTTGTTGTTTTTTTTTTTTTTTTTCTTTTATTACAACTTCAAGCAGCACCTCTGTAGCAAAAATTTAATTTTCTAGTATATTCCACGAGGTAACTTAAATTAAACATGCAGAAATAGCATCATTTTCTATGAACTCCCATGTGATGTGCCATAAGGCAGCCTAAACTGACTCGGAGCTTTTTTTGGGGCATGCCAATTAGAAAACCAAAGAAACTGTCACAACAACAGCTGTGAAATCTGCAAATGTCACTTCCATCGTTTCTGGACTTAACACTCCTTTTGTTCCACTGAAAGAATGGGATCAAGGCTTTCTCCTAAGGAAGGAAGCCTGAAGAAAGCAAATGTCCATAGGAAGGCAGTGCCACCATCCCTGGGAATAAACAGTGCAGCACACACAGCCTTTCCTGGGGCAAGGCAGGGCTGGAAGCAGGAAAAGCTGCTGTCTTGTACCAAAAGCTGAAGTGGTTTAGCACATGAAGAATGCATGCAAAATGTGCATTTTGGGAAGCAAAAATCAAGACAAAATCACAGACTGGTTTGGGTTGGAAGTGACCTTAAAGCTCATCCCATTCCACCCCTGCCATGGCAGGGACACCTTCCACTGTCCCAGGCTGCTCCAAGCCCTGTCCAACCTGGCCTTGGACACTGCCAGGGATCCAGGGGCAGCCTCAGCTTCTCTGGGAAATCTGTTCCAGTGCACATCTGCCTCCTTGAAAAAAAAACATTTCAGTCCAGAAAACACCCACTCCAGTCTTGTGCATCCTGGTAAGGTGGTTTAAACCCACATCTGCAGGTCGAAACTGTGCATGTTAAATGGTCTGACACTCCCCCAGCTGTGCCAACCAAAAGTCACATCAGGGATTAAACCAAAGCAGATAAAAACCTACCTGAAGGTCCCCCCCGCCATCAGGAAGGGCACCTGGGAGACCCTGCAAATCAGAGAATGGTGGCTTTTAAACACAAGACAAACACCAGGAGGAAACACAATTTCTAGGACAATTTTTACAGACCCAGCTCAGCTGGATCAGCACAAGGCACATACTCAGCCTAAAGTGCTGCCCCTGACCCTGGGGTGTTTTGAGCTGCACCAGCCCTGAAAATCAGACACATTGGGGGTGTAACCATCCCCTGGAGATCCCAGCTGGGCTTGGGAAGACTCTGGGGCCTTGGGTGATGAAGGCAGCAATTAGAGAAGAGCTCCTGCCTTTGGGAAAGACCTCCCAGTCCAACACTCCAGAGAGGGCACAGCAAACCCAAAACAGGGACTTGATTGCAAGCCCCACTTGCTGGCCCTACAAGAACAGATCCTGATCCAAGCAAGCACAAAAACCTTCCTTGAGAGAACAACATCCTGTGTGTGCCATAAAGGTGGGGTTCATGGGGTCCCTCCTCACACAGAGCACAAATAACAAACAGGAGATCATCAAATCACCCAAGAGCAGCCAAGGAAAAGTCCCTGCTCTCCTCAGGGCACCGTGTTTGAGCCCTGCTGAATGCTCATGGCAGTGGCAGCAAATAAAAAGTGGAGCAAGAAGAAAATTCCAGATTCCCCCCAGGAATTTTCTCACATTTATTTGCAAGTCTCAACTTACAGGAGGCCCAGGTGGTCCAGGAGGCCCCGGGAATCCTGGCAGACCAAAAGGTCCCTAAAAGCAGAGAAAAATAATAAGAATTTCCTTTCAATATATATGCAAAGGGATGTGAGGGGTGGCTACCAAAATATCACTTCAGAGAGAAGTAGGAAACAAAAATTAAACTCATTCTTCTGTGGTTGTGCACATTCAGTAACTGAGGATTAAATGGCTGGAGAAACTCACAGAAGGGCCCCGAAATCCGTGTCCACCTGGGAGCCCACTGGGTCCTGGAGGTCCCTGTGGAACAGAGAGAAGAGCTTTTACATCTCTGCTGACCTTGACACCCCAAAGCCAGGGGCAGCCAGCAGCTGGGCTGTCCCCATGTGCCCAATCCCCCCAAGGAGCTCCAGCCTGCCCCAGACCAGCAGCCTCCCAACACACATCTTGCTTTTTACTCCACATTCTCCTGGAATTCACTGCCAATCTAATTTACAGAATCACAGAATGACTCTGTAAGGTTGGAAGAGATCAAGATCATCAAGTCCAGCCCATGCCCTAACACCTCAACTAGACCACCCAGTGCCACAGCCAGCCTTTTAAAAAATACACCCAGAGATGGTGACTCCACCACCTCCCCAGGCAAAGCATTCCAATATTTCATTATTCTTTCCATGAAAAACTTTTTCCTAATACCCAACCTATATTTCCCTTGCAGTTTGAGGCTGTGTCCTCTGGTTCTGTCAGTGCTGCCTGCATCCCTCAGGCACAGGGCAGCTCCCAGGAACCCAGCAAACAAAAGCTGCCCCAGAACTGCTCACTTCCACTCTTTACAAGGCTGCTGTGCCTTGAATTTACACCAGAGCCAGCTTCCCCAGGGCGGGGGCAAGGATAAAAACCCCACAAAATCAATGATCTGCAGGACTCCACCTCCCTCTGCCTGGCACTGTAGAAGGACCTGAGGCCTGGGGAGGGTTTGTAATACTCAGGGTATCCAATAAAATCAGAATCTTAATTTATAATTTAAAAAAAAATATTCTTATTACTTACTGGAGGTCCTGGTAGTCCTTTGCCCTGAAAACAACATTTGGAACAGTAAAAGATCACTCAGAAACTGAACATACAGGAATAGAAGAAAGTTTCAAAAAATGCTGCTGTTTTTATTTAGTAAGTTTTCTTATCACTCCCTTGCCCCTAATGATTATAATTTGCAATCAGAGCAGAGTCTTGATGAATTTTTTTGTTGCCTCTAATAATTTGTATTCCCTTTCTATCTCCATTACCTATGAGATGTCTGTAAGAAAAGAGAAGTGTGGGACATGGAGAGGAAGACAACACTCCAGTTTATCTATTTCTCCTTTTTCTTTTCCTTTAAATTTTTATTAGATATTAGATAATATCTAGTAATTGTGATGACACTTGGTATGTCAGTCTGTATCCCAAGCTGGTTTGCTTTTAGAGCAAACCTAAGAGAATGAAACCAGGTCTGGTTACCAGAACAGGTCACACATACATATTTAAACATTTCAAACAATATATTCACTCATTCAGGCTTTGATCCTTTTGTTTGGGATCCAAAATTTCCTCTCTTGGTGATGATTTTGGCCTAATATTCCACACTTTCATCCCATGTGCTGTTCTGAGAGGTACTTACAGCTGGTCCAGGTGGCCCAGCAGGTCCTAATGCACCCTGTGGGAATAAAGCAGGATAAAAATTAGCAGGGATAAAAGAGAAACCTCCCTTTGGGGAGTCACCAAGGCCTGCTCTCCCTGACACCAATCTTTGCTTGGAAACTCCAGCAGAAACAGGACAGTACTACAGGTGCTCAGCTGAATTCACACAATAAGGACAAAAACTTATGGATAATTACTCTGAAAGTCTCAGCTTGGCCTCAGATGAATATCTAAATATCCTCCATGAATATCTAAACGTTCATAACTTGGATTCTGTCTACTTGAAATATTCTCATTCAAAATACATTCATATGGTAGATCCAATGACTAAGTTTCCTAAAACTATTAACAAAATTTGGATTTGTTCTAGGGCATTTTATTAATTCATCAATTTTCCTCTCAAGCAAAGCCAAAGATTTGGCAGCTTCTGCCTCTTCACTTGCTTCCTTGGCAAATGCCCCATTTCCTTTTCCCAGTTTGTATTCCCACTCTTAGGCTTGACTGGAGCTTGGTGAACTCATGGCTTAGACTGGAATTAAGTCATTCTTGAAGCTGTGAAGTTCCTGCTTGACTGAAGATAAGAACAAATAAGAAGATAAGAATAAAAGACCTCCTTAACCCCTTTGCTGCATTGCAAAGCTGCCAGCTGGGCAGCAGGCTGTAAAAATAATTATAGATGATAATTCTGAAGCAGAATCCCAGAATGGTTTGGGTTAGAAGGGATCTTAAAGATCACCCCCTGCCATGGACAGGGACACCTTCCAGGGGACCAGGGTGCAGGGACAAAGCAGGGACATCTCCTTGCACAGGGACAAGGCTTCCACAGCCTCTCCCCAGCCCAAACATCTCCAAAATGCACAGAAACATCTCGAGGATGATGTCCAGAGCTGGAATTAAATAGTGCCTGTTCCTGGAGCAAGAGAACAAGGTGGATGTGGAAACCTGGAGAATATCCCAGCACACACAGCTCCCACTGTGACCCCAGGGATGACACTGCCCTCTCCTCATGTTCTGTGGGCCACGGGAGATTAGAAATGTTTTCCCTTGTTAAGCTGAAGGAGAAAGACACAGAGGACCTTGTTAAGAGTGGTCTTGTGAGCAGAGAACTGTAATCCAATAAAAATCAGCCATGCTGTGAATGTCAGCTCATTCATTTCCTGCTCTGCCTTCAGTCACTTTTATCTTCAGGCTAAAAATCCTTACAACTGCTGCTGGCTGTAAGGGACAAGCTGGGATCTCCTCCTGCAAAGAAAACATTGAATTCCTGGCACCCCCTGACTTGCACCCTAATTCTGAAAGCAGCTGCATCACCCCTTTCTGCTTTGTCTAAGGGGCCACAAAGTTGGCAAAACACCCAAAATGCCAAATGTTGGCCCTTTCCACCCCCTAATTTTGATACCTCAGAGGGTGTAAGGTGCAGAATGCAGCACTGAACATTCCTGGTAAAGTAAGAGATCATGAAATCCCTGAATGAGCTGATGCTACTGCATTGAAGCAAAGGAGAGATTCTAATTTACATCTCAATTTTAATAACATTGTCTGACTCAACTCATTCTCCTGGTAACAATGTTCTTTCTCTTTTGATTAGAAAACACTATCACCATAATTTTTCACTTCGTAGCAATTTACTCTGAGAATAGACAACTGTGGAGCATAGAAAAAACTTGATTATTATGACATTCATAAATAGAAGTGAATAATTATGTTTTCCTGCTTTCATTGGAAAGCAACAAACTTCAAAATTGAGAACTTTCCTTTGAGAACTTTCCAATGAAGGACACCAGTATCTAGCAAGGAGATCAGGACCCAGCTCAACCCCAGCTAAAAATAAAGGGGCTTTAAAATTGAAAAAACAAGTAGATTTGATCTAATCAGTCTTTAAGCAGAAGCAGGAGAAAAGCCAATGGATGCTGAGAGCAGCAGGAGATATTTAAGATAAAAATCCTTTTGGAGATGTTTGGCAATAAAGTATTACTGAAAACTGGCCTCCATGAGCCTACTTCCCTGGGCTAAACAGCTTTGCTCTCAGACACTCCAGTTCAAAAAATAAAGCTTATTTAGAATAAATCAGAGTGCAAAGCATGAATTCAAACCCACAGCAATAAATAAACAGCAATTTCAGTGAGTCCTGTGAGACTGATACATGTCCTAAAATACAGGGAGAAAGAAAAGCAAGTCTGGCTAACAATGCTTCCTATTTAGAGTGCTAAAGCTTTCAGAGGTCTTTCCTTTTCCCAGGTTTTTATTAGACCAATTAAAACAATTTTCCAGATGGAGCAGTGACCTTGAAAAGCTCCCATAAATGCTGAGGGGTCCCAGGTCTGCCCCAAGCTGCCAGATTGAGTTACAAAATTAGGGAAAGCACAGAAATCTGAGTGTGCAGCTCTGCCTGGGGGCTCCTGCCCAGCAGCCAGAGAGGAAGTTCTGGTGCCCAGAAATTATCTGCTCAATTTCCCTGCATGGCAGGAGCTGTGTGCTAACGTGGGCATGGGCAAGCACTGCCACCCAGCCCAAAACAGGGCACAGAACTGCTCACAGCCTTCCATGGCTGCTCCTGAGCTTTCCTACTTTAAAAATCAGGGATCTGTTCCCAGGTGCTGCTGCACTCCTGGCACAGAATGTCTGAGAGTGGCCAGGATTTTGGATTTCTGGGGAGAAAGATGGGCACAAGGGACAGAAAAGGAGGGGGGTTTAGGGTGGTGGTGATGGACAGAGGCTTGGAGCTGTGACCAGGATATTTGGGTCCTCCCAAATATCAACTCTCCCAGTGGCCACACAAACTTTGCCTGCCACATGGGAAAGGAAGAAGGCCATATCACAAATACATGGCTGTACCACTCATCCCCTTAAATAACTCACAGATTTTTTCAGATTTGAGTAAATCCTTGGGGCAACAAGTGGATTATTGGGATATACTGAACAAGTTACAAAAACCCAGCCCATCACTGCAGCCCTGAGTCCAAGAGGCCAGCAAGCCAGCTGTGGACACAAGCCTTATATTCCCATCTAGGAGCCAGGAGAATAGCTGGGCTGGATCACAATCTGTGCTGAGTGGCTCATTAATGATTATTCCTTAATGTCACAGGGAGGCCTAAGAGTGGGTGATGACTGTGGATGATCTGAAGGACATCTGCATCATCTCTGGCAGTTGTTTCCCTGTCCCTGTGGTACCCCCTCAGCAGAGCTGGAACGTGTAGGAAGCAGAAAAAGCTCTTTAAAAAGCTCTTATTTCTCGCTGGGCTGGCTGGGGAACACTGTGGCAACTAATAATGCAACCATATGGACAGTTCCAGAAATAATAAAAAGCAAAAGTTCAAACAATTAATACACAGTAGCATTAATTATAAACACAGATCTGCCAACTCAGACTGCAAATAAAGGCCAAAATAACCTCACTTTGATAAACTTCACAATTGAGTCTGTTGACTGCTTCAAGAAACTTTTTGGATATTTGAAATATCCCCAGCACAGCCACCACTGAGGCAACCCAAGCAGATTCAAAGCCATGTGAAAGAAAGATGGATTTCATGCTCTGCCTAATGAAAAGACACCTGGGGCTGCATTTCAAGGATCCAAGTATTCTGAAGGGCTCACATCAGAAATAACACTTGAATATCACCAATTTCCAGCAGAATGTGAAAATCATCCCTACGAGCAGTGATAATGACCATTTAAAGGGACTAAGGATCTAATGAGGTACTCACACGGTCTCCTGGAGGCCCATTTGGGCCAGGTGGGCCATCAGTTCCTGTTAAACCCTGTAAAAAAACCCAAAAGATCAAGAGAGTGCCATCCTGTCAGCAACACATCTCAAAATTCTTCTCATATTCCTTAATTCAGCCTCGAGCTGCTTCTCCTTCAATTTCCCCTGATATTCAAGACACAGATGTAGGTCCAGCACTCACATTCCTTCTCCAGCAGGCACAGAGAAGGCTGATGGAACACATCAGGAAAACATCCCTGCCCATGTGAAAGATTTAAAAGACCTCAGAGAAGATGACAAAATACTCACATCCACTCCAGGAAGGCCAGGCAATCCAGCTTCACCTGCAGCTCCAGGCTTCCCTGGTGCTCCTTTTGGCCCCTACATGAGGTAAACAGTCAATTATTACAACAAAATTACAGAAGAAACGTGGCAGGGATGGAAGCTCATTTACTGGTGTGTAAATCTTACACTATGAAACGTGTGAGGAGAGGTGAATCTTGCTGTGAATCCATACCCAAATCCTACATTTCAGTGCTTTGGCTCATTCCCACATGCTCACAAGCTCTTCTTAGCAGGGGTAGGGATGGAGTAAGTGGCCAAAGAAAAGGGCTCTGCCACCTGGTACAGTTCTGAGCACCCCTGGCAGACTGAGGGGCTGAAGCAGACTCAGAGCAGAACCAAAATAACCACATAATGTGGCTCAGTGCCATGACACCTGTCATTGTACAGGTGATGCACAAGCTTTACCTCATTTATTTCATTCATTAATTTAATTTTCATTCTATTTCACTGATAGCAATGAAACAGGAGAATGTGTTTATCCCCTGGGGCAGTGCTGAGCATCCCTACTCCTGGGAATTCTGAGGCTGTAAATGCCATGTCCTGTGTCCTCATGAAAGGATGGAAAAGCCAATGCCAAGCAGGAAATACTTACTGGTGGGCCTGGCAAACCAGGAGGGCCTGGCTCTCCCTAGAGGAAAGAGAAAAGGCAGGGTTAGTGCTGAGCCTCTCTGTGTTGACTTTCAAAGCTCTCCTCATGCCCACTCCAAGATTTACCTGACTCGGTCTCATGAGCTGATGCTCTAAACCCCTCTGCTCCCTCAGCAGGATGAGCCTGGATAGCCACAGCAGCAAATTTGGGGAAATCCACATCCCCAGCCCCCCAGAGAGAACCAGTGCCCCTGAACAGTGCTCCCAGAACTTTCAGCTTCTTCTAGATACAGTTAGAATTTATTTGCACTTGGGAGTGGCTGCAAGTGAGGTAGAGGGGAAGCTGGAGAGATGTCACAATTTCCAAACATCTTCCTGGTGAAACAGAAGGATTCAGGGATAAACTCCAACTTTCCAGGGCACAGTATGAAGCTGTGGTACTGCCAGGAGCTGGGGATTATCACAAAATGAAGAATGAACAAACTGTCTACAATGATTTTCTTCATATGACTAAACTTGGACAGGAAAAGCAAACAGGCACAGCCCCCAACTGATTTCCACCTAATCCAATTGCTCAATCTGGATTAAACACAATTTTCAAAAAATATTTCAAAAGCACTCAGTTTTTTTTCTTCTAACAAAAAGAAACTTTTAAGAACAGCACTATAGGTGTTTGTGAGACAATATTTCATAAATCTTTAATAAATTCTTCCAGCTCAGCCAGTTGTAAAACCATTGATAAGTGCATGTATGGACTCCAGATAACAATTATTTATTTTAGTGTTAGGCTCCAAAAGAAGTAAACATTTGTGAACAGCAGGTGCTTGACTGGAGCTTGGTTTCTAACTCATCCCACAGAAAACCACTCTGTGTCCCAGTCCAGAGGGGACCCTGCCCTCCTGGCTTTAGGATAAGTGCATGGAATATTGTGAGAGGTACTGTGGGTGAGCAGAGGGGAAGGAGCAAGTTGGTATCCTGGAAGAAGAAAATCTCTATGGAAGAAGGGTGGTTATTAACAGAGCAGGGCTGGAAATAAAACCATCCCACCCTGGGCCTGCTAATCAGGAGGCAGGAGGCGTTTGCAGAGCTGTGGAATTTATAGCATGTTTCTATATTTACTGGGAAGGCTGTGGGCAAATCTCTGCAGCCTGGAGCTGCTCAGGATTTATGTCCTGCACCACTGACTGACCAGAGGTCCCTGAACAGAGGCATCTTTATGCTCTCCCTTGCTGAAGCAATTCCTTCAGTGTCCTTTGCCCACAGCTTTTCCATAAATAGTTATCACTATCATGGCTGGGGAAGGTTCAGTGCCAAGGAAATGAAAGGAGCAGTTCTTTTGAAATGAAAAGACAGCTGGAAACGGCAGTAGGGGTGGTTTGCTCCCTCATCCAGCCCCTTGCATTTTTCCATGATTCTGTGGTGGGAAGCTGCACAGGGAGGTCACAGCACCAGCAAAGGCTGCTGGGCACATCTGAAACCTTGATCCTGCCTTGGTGGAGCCCTGCAGGAGCAGCAGAACTTCAGAGAGCCTCATCAGTGTTTGTACCCAAAGCCAGATCACTGGGAATTAGAGGCAAGGGCTGTCAGCAAAAGGAAATGCTCTCCTGGTGCTGTGGGAGAGGGAAGGAAGTTCACTCTCTCAGCAAGTCAAGCCAGGAGACAGAAAGCAGGGGGAAAGAAAAGGCTTGATTTTTTGAAAAGTGACAATTGCTTATTAGCAATTTAGGGAATTACATCCCCAGAAATAATTCACAGGAACTTGTCACTAATTCTTTCCATCAAAACATGCTGCTCCTAGTCTTGGGAGAGAGAGATTTTGCTTGTTACTGGGTATGAAATGAGAAGCTTGTTAAAGGCTTTAATTATAAAATATTTCAGAGGGACTTAATGTTGCAGCTCCCACTGAAAGGCAGGGATGAAAGCAAGACCTTCGAGAAATTGTGCTGTGGAGTTCATCCAAGGAGATAACCTGAATAATTCAGCTGCATGCTCTGCACCTCTCACTGCTCACAGTAAGAGACTGCTGAACACCTCAGCTCAAAGACATCCAGCAACACTTCCACACTATTTTCATCCAAAGTCCCCTGCCAAGATGACCTGGCTGGAGTGGCTTACAGAGTTCAGGAATACAGTGCAGAAAATTTTCAATTGCAAAAAAAAAAAAGTCTCAGTACCAAAAGAAAATGAAAATAATGGTTTCACTCTGCAGTGGCATAACTACCACTGCCACTCAGGATCCACATGACCCTCCCCACGCAGGAGCAGGAGAGTGTAGAACAGTGCTGAATTTTATATACCATCAAATTTTGGAGTGCACTGACAAGAAAAGGGCAGCTCTTAAGCAGGGAGGCTGCGTGACTGCTCAACACCAGCCACAGCCCTGCATCTCCTCCTGTGCAATTCCTGAAAGGACTCAATGTCCTGCTGAAGAGCAGGAGCCATCCTGGAGCCTGCCCCTGGACTGCCAGACCCTTTAGCCTGACATCCTCTATCCATAGGAGGGATAGAGTTCAAGTCTGTTCAAATTAGAGAGTATTTCTGTGTAGACAAAACTCCAGACCAAAGTTGGGACTGCAGGATTTTGCACCTTAAACATTTTACTCAGCCGTTTGATTCATTGGGACTAAGTTCTTCACATTAATAAGATGTTATGTGATCCTGTCCCACGGGGAGCCTTCCAAAGGTTTTAGTTGTGGATAAAGGGGTGTAGGTCCACATGACTGACACGGCCCTGGGCTCCTGTTTCCAAGAGCAATCAGAAGTGATGCTGGTGCTGTTCCAGAATTCAATATCCTGTAGAAAGAAGGAACTGAACAACTAGAGGGTTTCTGTCCCATTTCCTCTCTGCAGAAGTTGAAATTTGAAGTCTGAAGGGCTTCATCCTTCCCAAACTCTTCTTTTTGCTTCCACAGTGAATCACAGCCAGCCTTTCCCACAGTGTGCTGGCCACACCAGTGTCCTGCTGCAGGGACTCCACTGCTGCAAATGGGAACCAGTGTCCTTCTCCCTCTTCTGAGGTGTCCCCTGAGTTTTGTGACACCACGAAGAACAGTGGAAGCTGCCGAGGTGCCAGCTCTGAACATCTCACACTACAAAACCAGAGGGAGATTCCCAGCCCTACAGACTCCTTTAGCCAAAAGGCACTCAGAGAGAGCAGCTGGAAATCAATGAGGTTCTCTCTTCAGCCCAGGCAGGCTCAGGGAGCCGCAGGGAAAGCTCCCCACTGCAGGCACAAACACTCCTTGTTCACCATGTACCAGGGAACTCATACATAATTTTTTTACCTCCTTATCCAAAAGAAAATGACCTGCATGGAATGAATAGATTTTTTCAACGTTGCTTGAGGGCCCAATTCCAATAAATGTACTTCAGACGAGCTTTAAAAACCCCTGCACTGTTCCACAAACAGCTCAGAGACACAAGAGCTGCTCAAACTGGAAATCGAAGCAGGAACCCAGACTTTTGCATTTGATGTGGCCTTGCTGAAGGTCCATCTGATGTTCATTTTATCCACTGCCAACTACAGGACACAACTCACTCCTTATCCAACAGATGCACAGAAGAAATATTTCAAATTTCTATAGAAACATCAATGACAAGTAACAGAACAAGTTTTCTCCTCCATTAAGTCCTGGGTTATGCAGTCTTCTCCCTCTGAGGGAGGTGTAAGGAGCTGCCTGCTGAAACAAAGGCTCTTCATTTTATTTGCCTTTTGGGCCACTACAAACTCACGTCTGGCAACACAAGAGCCAGATCCTGACACATCATGTGCCAAAGTGAGGGATAACCGTGATTACAATATTGAAATAAAATTAATAGGACAAAAGCAGCGTCCAGTGCTGCATATTTGAGTCTCTTGTAGCCTCTCTGGAAATATAGATGCTCTGAAGCATCACATAAATCTGTCTTTGAACTGCTGAACGTGTGCTGACCTCACACACATTGTATAGCCCTGCACTCAACCTTGTGCCAGAAGAGAAATATTCTGCTTTGCAAGCAGGCTCACAACGCCCTGAGCTCTCCCTGGGGACAGGGGATTGACCCTGCAAAGAACCTGCTCGGCTCCTGCACTTGCTGTTCAGACTCCTGCAGAACGAGGTCTCTTTCGAGGACAGTGATTTTCCAGGTCCCTCCCCCGAGGATGTCCAGAGGCTGCAGACCTGGAGAAGCAGAGCAGCTCCTCGGGCTCTGCCCCTGCCCCACCCCTCAGCGAGCCAGCCCTGCCCTGTGTCACTCACATCAATGCCGTCCTTGCCAGATGGTCCAGGGGGTCCTGGAGGTCCAGGAGGGCCTTGTGGTCCAATTCTAGGAAGGGACTGGGGGAAAAGTGAGAGACAAGAGCTTATTTTTCCATCAGAAGCAACACATGGGCTAGATCAGAAATCAGTAGCCAAGTCCTACAATTTAACCCTAAATCTGCACCTCCTGACAGCCTGGGTGAGCTCAGAGTTGCTGCAGAGCAGTGCAAGGCTCTTTGGAAACCTTTTTGACTGAGCACATTCCCAGCTCCTTTTACTGGTGGCCTATACTGGGAATGCAAACTGGTCACTGGGCAGCAAAGGCATTTCGTGGTATAGGAAATTGTTCAGACTACAGGAACATTTTGGGTTGAGCAGAGGAGGAAATGCAAAGCCCATGGAGAAGGTGCCAAGTGCTTGGTAGAAATAATTAATTGATAGCCCCAGTCTGATGGGGTGATGACAAAGCCAGGCAGACACCAATGAAGACAAGAGCAGAAAGGGGAAGTCTCCTCTCTGAGCAGGATGCCACTTCAAAATCTGGGATTTTGGAAAGGTCTGAGGTGGGGGGGAAGGAAAAAAAGGTCCAATAAATGACTTCTGTATGGAGAGGGCTCCAGAGAGCAACTTACTGTAGCTTCAGGGAACAAAGGTTTCATTGTAGAAGCAGCTCTGCTCACAGCAGAGTTCTGAATTCCCAAGCCAGGCTGCAAAAATTCCTCACTAACAATGAAAAACTCACTGAGGAGTCACTTCCCCAGACAATAATATGAACAGCAGACAGGGAAGTTTAATACAGCTTCATGTCTCAAGTGAGCAAGGGTTAAATATGCTGTTAGGGTAAAATTTGAAAATTGATTGCCAGATGAGTAAGAAATTGTGATTCAGATAAAGACCCAGATCAGATCAGTTTCGCTGGAAATCTGTTACTTCATTGTAAAAGCAAACGTTTTCTTGCATCAAAAGATCTTCCCTTTCCAAGGCTTTCCCTCTCATAATTGCAGTCCTGAATGGGAAAACAGCACTTCAAAAATATAAAGCATCAGTTTTTACACCTACCCACACAGGTACAAACCCAGGCACACATTTATAATAAACTTTAGAATAATAACCTGCCTATTGCCACGTTTCACCCCACAGGTACAACACACACCGACCATTCTTTTTTACCCTTAAAGGTTTTTCCTTGAGAAACAAGGAGGCACATGAGACACAAATGAGGTTTCTCACCTGAGCTGATGCTGTGGCCAAGAGCTGACAAAGGGAGAGGAGCCCAAGAGCAGAGAATCCAGCCATGGTGCCCAGGCTCTGCCTCTCTCTCCTCCAGGGCAGCCAAACCCTTTCTCCTCCAGGGTCCAGCAGATCCCTCCTCCCGGGGCTCAGCTTACAGAGCAGAGACTCCTCGCCTCCAGATAAACCTGTGGCTCCAGCTGGAGCAAGGGAGAGGGGCCGAGCTTGGAGGAGAGGTGGGAGAAGGAGGGGGAGCAGCAGGCAGGCAGAGCAGCTCTCATTCCTGCCCTGCTGGGCAGCCCCAGCCTCCTGCTCCAGGAGCAAAACTGGGCTACTCCAGCTGCAAATAAAAAGCTGGTCCTTAGGTCTCACCCAGGACATTTCCCAAAGCCCATCACCACCTCTGGGCTGGACAGGTAAAAAGCGACACAGTGAGTTTTTGGCCTGAGGCCACCTAACTCCAGCACAGACATTAACAAACCTGCAACAGTGCACGATCACTACAGAGAAATGCACTTACTGCTGGCTTTGCGAGGTCTTTTGTTAGCTCTGGAGGTTGTTCACATCTGTTTTTATTTTTTTAGGGTGATCTGAAGAGCACTGATTCCTTGAGAAGTGATGAATGCTGGTCAGAAAACAATCACAGACACATACAAGGAGGAAGGAAAAAGAAGGAACATCCTCAAAGCCACAAAGAAATATTTGAAATATTGCAAGAAAGGAAGAGGACAGTTCCCTGCCTGGTGATCCCAAATGGCAACAGATTCATGAAGATACATCTCCTGCAATGAGCTTCACCATTTCCTTTATTGTTTTAAGACAATTTCATACCAAGCAGGGCTTGGAAGTGGAGAGGAACAGTGGCCAGAATCCTCAGGGCTAAAATGACACAGCTCATCTGGTTAAGAATACAAGTAGAAAAATCAAAGCCTAGGAACTGAAATACCTGATTTTAGCTTGGCATCTTTACAGCAGGAGGCTCGTAGGAACACACAGTGTTTGTCCAGCTCTCCAGCAGTCAGTATTCCCAGAGCTTTGGCAGAGGGATAAACGACTCAGATTTATCAAGTTCCACAAGATTCTGTGGAACAGGCAGTTGGGGACAGAAAGGAAAAATGTCTGTAAGTCTTCTGATGGCTTCTGAGTAACTGGGATCCTTTATTAGATACCTCAAACCCCAAAGAGGGAGAGCAGCTTTGCACAGCTTGTACCTCCTCCTCCACACTGAGGCAAACTGATGGTAGGAGGGAAGGCAAAGCAGACCCAAATTCCTCAGCCACACCTTGTCCAGAGCAAACCACGGCCTGGGGGGCTGCAGGTGGAGCCTGCCCATGACCAGCACAGGAAAGGCCCTGGGAGTGCTCACCTCCAAGAGAAAATAAATCCTGAACCGAAGCTCCTACAGCCAGGCTGGGCAGTGCCCTCCTGCCTGGAGCCCCAGGGGATGCTCAAGCAGAGTCCTGGTTGATCTGCAGAGCACCACAACACCTGTGGGAGAAGAGCTGCAAAAGCAAGGCAAAACATTCTGAAACATCCTGAAACATCCAGACACCCCATCCCTGGAAGGTCAAAGCCAGGCTGGATAGGGCTCTGAGCAACCTGGTCCAGTGGAAGGTGTCCCTGCCCTTGGCAGGGAGGTTGGACCAAAACAAACTCTGAGGTCACTTCCAACCCAAACCATTCTGTGATTCTATGATTTCCAAGCACGTCATTAAACAAGCAGCATAGGGAGGTTCTTTTCCCCAAAAACATTCACTGGGAATTTTTTAAAGATGGAGGAAGACTGGGCATCATCTCCACAAGGAAGAAACAGCAGGTATGTGCCATGGTGAGCCCAGCAGAGCTCCACTTGTTGGAGGGAACCAAGCAAGAGCTCATGGTTCCAGGGGGATGGGTAAATTCATGGGCATATCTTACCATCAAAGATGAAAAAATATAAATGGAAACTGATATGCATTAAAGTCATGCTTTAATAGGGGAATTAACATACCAGACTCTGTGATACAGCTCTGAGTGCTGGGTAACACCTTGTGAACTCACCACACACACCCACAGCCAAAACTAAACCTGGCAGGAGAGGGAAGAAGTTGGTTTGAGCATTCACTCCAGGCTGGGGCTCACAGTGAAATCCCATTAAACACAAAACCAAACCCCACCATAACAAGACAGAGGATCTATGCCCCCCTGAGCACATATTCACAATCAAAATTTCATTAAATAAGAAAATTACTATAAATCTGTACAAAAGCCACAATTAACAATTCTTAGGAATCTGTTAGGAAAGAATTCTCACTCAACATCTTCAAGTATTTTTATCTGTAGTTAAGTGTATTCTTACTGGCTATTTAATCCATCTGTTCTTAAGAAGAAAGAAGTATTTTAAAACATTAAAGCCTTTTTTCAGTACATATGTGACCATTAACATCAGATGTTAAGCCTGCAGATTTTTATTCCCACACACATGTGGCATACTGGATCACAACCTACTGTCTGGGAAGGTAAATTACCCCTCAAATTCCTTGAAAGATAAGGCTTCTCAAGAGCTGTAGCAGAGAAACAAAACCATTGACATTGCACAAGCTGCTGCATCTGCTCTCTGACCATCTCTGACACAAACCAAACAGCACCAAAGAACCTCAAAACAAACCCACACAACCTGAGCAAACAGCAAGTCCAGACCTTCAGGCTGTTGGACACAATTTCCCCTGCTTCATGAAACAGATTCTCTGTTGCAAATTTTTAGGAGTGAAGGTGCTAAACTGTTTTAATTCTCCTTCAGACTCGGTGGAATATCGTGTAAGTGTAGCAGAACAGCTGACAGGGAGGTCAGGAACACCGAGGCACGCAAAGAGCTGGCAAGGTCTGAAAGTAAATTCTTGAGGGCTAGAAATGAACGAACCAGACAAGCGTAGCCTCTCCAATTAACGTTTCAATTAACTGCCCCACAAAGCCCAGTGGTTTCCAGACATGCTGCACTGGAACATGCCCTGGCTGTCTGACATTAAAGGCAAAGCAATCCTGCCCTAAGTAGGAAACGAGTTGGATCTGACACATCAAACCTCACACCATGGGCCTGCAGGAAAGAGCTCCTCCAGGCCACTGCAAATCACCAGCAAAGGCTGAAAAAAATGCACTGGGAAATATTTGTGCTGTTTTGGCAATGGAGAGATGAGGGCCTTTGAAACAGTCATGGACACAAAAATCTGTGGAAGACTATAAAGGATATAAGTGTGGGAAAACCTGGGGAAGAGCAGCTCTAAACAGTTTTACGCAAAATTTGGAGTTTTTTTCTCTTAGAAAGTCTTAGTCGGCAACTTGTAGTCCTAATTCTAACAAGAACTACAAAGCAACCTCTGTAGGGATAAAGAGAAATAACTACTCAGCACTTTGCACCTCAGAGAACAGAATCTCTACACCAAGGTTCATACTGGTCAGAGACACATTTTGGCTATAGTTTTTATCCCAGTTAAAGCCAAACCTACTTTCCTTACCAGAGGAGAGGCAACTATAATGAATAATTTGAAATCCATATACTCATCTCTTTTAGAGAAACAGCACATTTGCCAGGAAAAAACTCCTGGTAAGGTACAGCCTTTCACAATAATAAACAAAGTTACACAGCAGTAGAAAGGCCTGGCAAATTAGGTCATGCTGTCTTTACATTAAAAATTGTGTCTTTAATAAATAGTTAAGTAATTCATACAAGGAGACATCACTTTTCCTCTTCTCTTTCAGTAGGGACATAATCAGAATCAAAGCCAAGTGCAAAAATCCCCGTTCCTCCAAGATAGCCCTGAACAACAGATAAAACCCAGGAACAGGACATGGCCTGCCCGTGAAGATGAGTAAATGCAGAGTTTTCCTCTTTAGGGTAACCAAGAGCCAGATGTCAGTGAGTTTACTAGGGATGATTAAAAAACCATGGAAGAGTGAAAGTGAGACAGGGGCCAGCTGGATCATCCCAAAGGAAATTTATTCAGTTCTCCAAGCCAGCAAAGCTGGCTCCCAGCAGACGGGGCAGTGCCACCTCCACTGGCTCGGGCGCTCACTGTGCTGCTCTCACTCTGCTGCATTCTCAGAGCCTTCACCTTTTTCTGGTGGGACCTCAGCACTGTTCTCTTCAGGACAAGGGGGTGTCGTGCTCTGCTCATGACTCTCTGGAGTTTGCTTCTTGTCTGTGTCTTCTGCTTGCCCCTTTTCACCTGCTTTTTCCTGCTGTCCTACCCCATCTAGTTCACTTTTGTCCCCCAGCAGTTTACTGTTGCAGTGGTGCTGATCACCCTCTGCTGAGTCTTGATCTTCACCTGACTTGCAGCCATCCTTGATTGGAGCAGTGCAGTCAGTCCTGGGGAGCCTGGAAGCAGCCAAGGATCTCACCTCCCCATCATCTGCATCACCACCACCACTCCCCTTCTCACTTGGCACTTCCACAGCTTCATTTTTCTCACTGTCATTTTCTTTTCCAGCCTCACCGTTGACAGCAGATGGATTTGCCTTGGCACCAGAGGCTGAGGGCCCCATGCTCAGGTTTATGGCCAAATTGACTGGTTTGTTTCTCAATGGTTTTTTATCAACTTTCCTGCGTTTCACAGCTGCATCCGTGGCCTCTGGCACTGCCGGCTCTTTGGTGCTTGAATCATCTTCCTTCAGTGCTTCCTGATTCTCTTCTGCCTGGGAGACTGGGTCTGAGGAGGGGATCTCTGCATCAATTGCACACTCTCCCAGATTATGGGAAATGTTTTCAATATCAGCAGAGTTTTTCAATGATCTATCCCCTTTAGCATCTGCCAAACCTGCATTCAGTTTTCTCTTCTTGCTCTCCTTTGTGCAGTCATTCTCTGCAGTACCCTGTCCTTCTTCAGCCTCACTTTTTAAATCCTTTTCCTCCAGCTGGGCAAATGAGGCTTCTTTCTCCTCTTCATCATCTCCTACCTTCAAAACACACTTGCTTATCTTCTCATCACTCATTTCAGGCTGCAACTCTGCAGCATCTCCAGCTTTCTGTTCCACCTCTGGAGACTGGTTCTGATCCTTCTCCACAGAATCACCACATTTTTGACATGGAGCGTCCTGTTTATCCTCAGGCCTTTGGTGCAGCTGTGGCTTGGCAGAGCGGGGTCTGTACTTCTGGAGTTTGTCACGAGGCCCCCACACGAAGCTGCTCTGAGGTTTGAAGTGTTGCCAAGCATAGTGGACGAGTTCTCTCCTCTTCTCTTTGCTTCTGACAGTGAACAGGAAGTAATCCAAGGCACTTCTCTTGACATTTGGTAATGTCTCCTCGACAAGAGTTTCTGTGAGGAAAAACTTCACCAAGTGCACTTGATAGTCTTCATGTCCCATCTCCCCCAGGCACTTCAGGATGCGAGTAATCCTCAAATTGTTGTGGCTGAACCTGAGGGAAACAGATAAGCAAAGCTGTCAAGGGAAACTCTTACAAGTCACTGTGAACCTCTGAAGCATCTGCAAAATGTTTTATTATCAATTGACTGTGAGCCATTAAAGACTATTAGACAATACAAATGGGAGCACAGGTGGGCTTACTTTTAAAGCACCCACTGCTGTTGTTTACCTTCAGCAGCTCCTTTCTAACCCTCCCTGGGCTGATGGGATTCAGCATCTCAGCTGCTTGGAAAGGTTTTGGCTTTCTGAATCAGCCACTAGTAAGTCACCACACTGGGGCAGACACACAAGTCCTGCCCCTGACAGAGACACTCCAGGGAAAGTCTGTAGTATTGAGAATACAGGCATGAAAGGATGCTACCAAAACCTCAGGACTTAAGCTAAATACAGCTGTTTTTTCCTTTCTAACAGTTGATAGACTTCAAGTTGTTTTTCGTTTTGTGATTATGCCCACTCCTTTCAAGAGGCTAATATCACCAGGAAGGGTCGTTACTTACTCCACAAAACCTACATTAATATAGAACCAGACCATTTGCAGAGCACTTTTCAAACAAGGACTCAAATCATTTTACACATATTAAGGGTGCTTCATAAACCATCAGGGAACCATACAGAAAGACTTCTATTTTGTAGTTTAACAGAATAAAAGTTAAAATTACTTTCACTAGATAACATTTATCAACAAAAGTCTCCATTCCTCAATGGCTGAGGATTTCCTAGGCATTGACTTTTTTTCCCCCTTCAAAGAAATGCCTGGCTGCAGTAAATGCTCAACAGCATCAACACACTCACCTGTTCAAGTTTTCAAAGCGTTCACGCCAATTCTCTGCTCTCTCAAGTTCTCCAGTTTCTTCGTTGACCAGGTTGATTCCATAAAATCCCAGCATGAGTTTGTAAGCACGGATAAACCTGTCCATAACTTCCTTGGACTTCCTAAAGGCCTGAACACAAGACACAGCAATTATTGAAAGGTGCAACTCCCTAATTACCTGCACCAGATTAATTGGCCCCTGAATTCTAAACAAGGGTTGATTGTATCACTAAGTATTTCATTTGATGACCTAAGACAGGTAACTGCTTCACTGTGAGCTCTGTGCACACTAAAAACCCAAGGAAATAATGGAAAAAACACTAGGCTTCAAATATAAGGTATTTAGGGGAAATTCTAACATCCTTCAGATCTCAAAGAAAAAAAGGCAAAAGCTTAAAATAAATACCTGGATTTCTTGACAGGTGAGTGGCCTGGCACGCCAGTTCATCCCATGTTCACGTAAAGGGAACAGCCTGAAGGAAAAGAAATTTTTGGGCCAGATGAGCAAAGATGACATCCAACCTAAGGTACCCAACTTGTTAGAACCAAAACAAGATTCCAAAACTTGTGATATCACAGGCATCTCTCAGAGAACTCCCATCCTTACAGACACAGAAGTCATTTCCTAGTAAATCCCTCCCATAAAAGCATTGTCTACACCAGTAACAAAAAAACCTGGCTTATGTGGATCTCTCTCCTTGCCTTAACTTTGTGCTCCAAGACACACAAATGACTGAGATCTATTGCCACAGCTACACTGGAAACCTCGGTTTTCAGGAGTTCCAGTGCTTTGCTTCCTGAGGAATGCAACTCAATTAACTAAATTAACTAATTCTGGGTCTTGTGTGAAATCAGGAATACACATCCACCTGACACTTAAAACAGGCACAACTAGAGAGACACTGTGCTCATGCAGACAATTTACCATTGTATGTAAGAATGGTTTTCTTCCAGTGTTTCATACTTGTCTGCCCAAGATGAAAGGAGAGTTTCAATAAACACACCTGCAAGGAAAAGGAAAAGGTCAGGGAAGAAATTACACCAAACTAAAATGAATGTTAGCCAGTCAGTCACACCACACAGCTCGCTACCAAGATCCAGATATTTGCACACAGGCATTAGCTTCTCCAACAAGACAACCAGCCAAAAAAATACCTTAACCAGAGTATTAAGGAAAATACAACAGGAACATTTTAAAATGGACATTCTTGGTGGATTTTTGTTTGGCTTGGGTGGTGGCTTTGGTTGGTTGTTTGGTTTAGGTTTTTTATGGTCTCACATGGATTAAACTACTCTTTCATCAACCAGCTGCAGCAGATGGCATCAAACAACCACCACACAAGGCACTCACCATGGGGCACAAAAGCAATTTCATTTTTATAAAAGCTTAAGTTCCACATCTCTTCTTCCTCCTCATTCTCTGTATCTTTCAAGTCCTGGAGATGAGAACAAGAAATGAACAAGCAGCAACCTTCTAAAAGGCAGTAATCACTCCAACACTTCTCCTTGCTTTCCCTCACATTCCCTACACATTTCAAGCTAAATCCTCAAAATGTGCTTCGGGAAAAGTAGCACCTTGTTTCTGATGCACCCACACACACCATCCCTTCCCCCTCACAAATGAATCCTCAGAAGGTGCTGAGCCTGTAAATGCAAAGGCAAAAGGGTGCTCCCAAATGTAGGAAGAAGTGTTCTTGAAGGCAGAAGTGCTGAGGAGGAGCCCAGAGCACGTACTGGGTAATGGTTTCTGTATCTCTGCAGGTCTCTCGCCGCACTCCAGTTGCGCCTCCCACTGCACTGGAGAGAAGAGACAGAGCAGAGATTCAGAGTGAAATCCCCTTCTGCCAAATAAAATAAAATAAAATAAAATAATGCCCTGACTGAATTCAGCAGCTCCCACAGGTTCCCCTGCACTTTGCACTTCCAGCACCCCCAAAGCCAACCAGACTGGTGCTGTAGTCATGTCCCTGCATTCCTGAAGATAAATTTAAACCAAGAGAAGTTAACATCATCTCCTGTAAACAAAATACTCTTTTTTCCTTCTCATCTTATTAATCAAGGCTTTTATGTCTTATGTATATATTTTATCCCACTCGGGTTTGCCAATGGAAATGATAACAAGCTGGATATCCTACATAAGAAAATGCCATTGTTTTTCTTTAACTCCAAGGTTTTAAAACAAGACCTGTCTCTGAGTTGCTATAAACCCTAGTGAAGACAGAGGCTAGACCTTCAAATGGTAGAATTTAGGATGCAGAAATATCTCTTGAATTCAAGATTCTTATTCCCTGCAGACCTTGCTGAAATAGAAATTTTCTTTACCACTGCTTTGTGCTCAAGATCAGCCTTGCTAATTTAGACAGTGGATGGCAACAGAACCACAGGGTCACATTAGATATTTATTTTATTGGACTTCTCTTCCAATCATAATCTTCATTATTACCCATCTTCCCATGTAATCAAGTTTTATGTCAAGCCTACCTGAAAACCTCTCCAAGACAGCAGTGAAGAATTTGAGCTTTGATCCTGAAAACAAAAAGCATTTAGTTGGAACATTTTGAAACCAAAGTTCACTAAAAAAATAAAAAAAGAGATACAAAATGAGAATACCCACAGCAGTGACTCACAGGATCCCTATTAGTTGCCAAGTGACAGATTTACCTAGTTACAGCTGAATTCACTCTATTTTATGCATAATTCAAATTTCTACAGAGAAAAACCTGTGGTACCACATGAAGTAGGCACCAGGTTCTCATCACAGATGTGCTAGATTCATTCCAAGTGTCACATTTAGACAGAGTTCACAAAGACCAGCTTCATTTCCCCCTCTGAACTTCATGGAAATAGAAGTATGGCTTAGTTTAAAGTGCATTTTAACTGAAATATATGCATATTTATTTATACATTTGATTACCTCAATGATAGGGAATTTTGTTACACTTCACAAGCAACACAGACAGGTTTAATATTGCTGAGTGCTGAACCATCTTATCCCAAACCATGACAGCATTTTACAGTGTTCTGTGAATTGAGAACTACCAAAAGGAAGAAGACTGCTCATGAATAAAAAGCACTCAGAGGGCACAGTCAGAGGTTTCAATGCCAGCTCACAGAGAGAACAGGGAAGTTAGGAAAAGAGGGTAAGATGTGCACAGTCTTGCAAAACAAGCATTAAAAGAAATTTAGAAGAAAGAAGCAGCAAAAACTCCCCCAAGTTACTTCATAATCTCATTTGGTATTTCTTAACATCACATGCACAGAGAGAAATAAAACCACTTTCTAACAACACTGATCACTAGTTCATTAATTATTAAGACAGGAATGGGTCAACATCTGTAGCACCTTGCTGTAATGAAGTCACCCATTCAGCTGTCCTGATGACAGTTATGTGGCATTAATGACAATTTTGTTCCCAATTACCAAATAATCCCAAAAATCCTTCACATTTAAGGTTCTAAAGTAATATCCTTGAACACAGTCAGGCAGGAAAGGAGCACAGCAGACTGGGTCTCACTCAAAAGAGGACTGGTTTGCTGAAGAGTCATTGCAGATACAGATGCCATGCCATGGTGTAAGGGGCTATAAGAGACTTGTCCAGAAGGAAGCCAAATGCAGGGAAAGGGCAATCTGGAATACAGCAATCCAGAGAATAAAATGAGGAAGCAAAGAGAGAAAAACTCAGCTCTGCATCCCCAAGCAGGTGTTGTTTCTAGGTCTCTACAAACTTCCAAATTAAGGCCTTTCCTTCCAGGTAAGAAACAAAACTAAACAGCAAGGCTGAAACTTCCCTGTAGAAATCAAATACTTTTTTTTTTCCTCACAGCAAAACTAAGTGGGTTTCATGCTCCAAACCTGTATCACACCAGGCAGAATGTGCATTGCTGTGGGAAGAGCAAGAGAAGCAGAGAACATAGCCAGGAGAGGGTGACAGAAAGAGGATCTGGCTGAGAAATCAGCTGGAAAGCTGCTGTAACCAAAAGGGATGTGGATTGTGAACCAGGCACAGGAACAAGAAAGATGAGAGCCCAGAAGAGTGAAACTTTTTGTTGATGGAGATTTAAGAGAAGGCAGGACCATGGGGGTTGTTATTAAAACAGCTGATCATGAACTGCAGGCGTTACAGCAGTTTCAGAGGGAACTCCTTAAAATGAACACAATCCCCAAAGTTTTCAAAGCTCATTTACAAAAGCTGAAGGCACTGAAATGCAAAAGAGCTGGAAAGACACACCTGCAGGAATTTCAGGCCGTGAACATTTGCAGAGACAAGTGAAATGCAGAGACAGAAGCAGAATTTTAAGCTTGTTTTAAAAGTGCATAGTGAAAATAACAATAAAAAAACTCTAACCTCAATACCAAAGAAAGACAATAGCTGCTTCAGGACTAAAGAAAACCATCCAGGCTGAGGGGAGAAGAATGAGAATTAGTGTAAAACAAGCAGAAGTAAGAACAAGTTAGGGAAATTGATCCATGCCTTTGACAGGCTGCAAAGGCATAAATGGCTAGCAGAAGATTTACTGCTCTTTGTGCATTCACTCTCAGTGCCCTTACAATTTTTTGGGCACTGTCAGAGGTGACTACACATTCATCACTGCAGGAAGAGCTCCTATTTAAAAACGCAGAATAATATTCCAGAGGCTGTAAGCCTCAGGGACAACATCCTCCTTTGTAAGGCAAAGCTGGAGAAGTCCACTCCCTGGAGTGAGAAAATGGTCCTTGCTTTTACAATTGCCACCTTCGAGAGCTGCTCTAAGGAAAAAAAAAAAAAAAAAGAACCTGAAGAACAAACACATTCAAACAGAATAATAGGAATGTTCTAGAGTTATTAAAGCTTGTGAACTCCAGCCACGTACAAAAAGTTGATAGGGTGCACTTAACGCAAAAAACTTCAAAGGAAATCCCTGCCTCTTCCCTTCAGAATTACAGCTACTCCACCCAAAATACCTTTGGCCTTTCCCAGATCTATGCACGCAGAGAATTTATTTTTCCTTCAAAAGTGCTTATTTCTATATTTTAATGCTTATTAAGGAAAAAAAAAAAGCATAATATGAATTTCTTTTAAAAGTATATTAATTAGAAAGCTTTATTTGCCTATTTATCTTCTACAGATAAGGATGAGACGCTGAAACGAAACTCGAAGTGGCTTCCCTTTCCCAGAAAGGGGAGGAGTTAAAGGACTGTACCGTGTGTTGCCTGACATAGGAAGTACTGAAAAGGAACAAGTTGCATTTGCCAAAGCAATGCTGGAGAAGAAATTACTGACACCCAATGTCAAACTGAAAAACCGATGCTATTAACAGAAACATCAGATAAGACTAACAAATTCCTTTTATTTCAAATAAATATTATTTTAAGGCACCAGACACAAGTGCTTGTGCTTTGCAGCGCTTTGCACAAAACTGCACACGTACATCTAGTTTTTAAAACACACCATTTTTTGGTTTTCTAAGTTGCTCTACACTCACTCCCTAAGAAATAAAACATGTCTACGAGAAATGAAGAGTTACAGCTCATTTTTAAAATTGAGCAGATGTTATGTAATGGATTTTTACTGATGGCATGAAAGAGCCTAGGGAAGGCAACCGTACAAAGCTGAGGATACCAAACAAAAACTTAAAAGCACATCAATGCCAAATCCAGGAGCCATCAGCAGTGGGGAACAGGCAGGTGCCACACACAACACAGAGTGGGATAAAGTATCACATTATAGGGAAAGGTGGGGAAAACAAATCAAACCCCAGCTCATGGCAATGGAATGGATCTTGAGGAGTCATGAAGTGACAGCATCCCTGTAAGCCCCCCTTCTCCAGGGGGATTTTGTTTCCTCAAGATGAGAGCAAATTCCGAGCTGAGGATCCCCCGAGGGCCGCGGGGCCTCCCCCGGCACCGAGCTCGTCCTTCCCGTCCCGAGCAGCGGCTCCGACGGGCAAGAGAACGGGCACGTTGTCTCTGACGGGAGAACGGGCAAGGCAGGCCCGGGAAGGAGCTCCGGCTGCGGGGCCCGGGCATGAAGGGCTGGAACGGGTCCCCTCAGGCCTCGCTCGGTGCCCGTGTCCCCCTCACGCACCTGGCTGTGCCGGCAGCCCCGCGCCCGGCCCGGCCCCGGCTGCTCCTCCGCATCCTCCGCCGCCGCTCCCTCCGGCTCGCCTCCGCCGCCATCCTCCTCCTCCTCCTCTTCCTCCCCCTCCCAGGTGGAGTCGTACTTCCAGAGGCTCGCCTCGTCCTCCGCCTCGTCCTCCTCCGCCCTGAGGCTGAACCAGGCCGCCATGGGGAGGTGAAGAGAAAGGGAAAGCGAAAGAGAGCAGGGAGCAGCGGCGGGGCGGCCCTTCCGCCCGCCCGAGCGCACAAAGCCCGGGCACGTGTGGGGGGGGGACCGCGGGAAGGAAGCGCGGCCACGCCCCGCCCCCTTCCTGCGCCGCCGCCCCCCATTGGCTGCCGCCCGCGCGCGCCCTGCGCCCGCCCGCACCGCGCCCGCGGGATCCGGGCGGAGCGGGGCAACGGATCTCGCCCGGCATAAAGGGATCAAAGAACAGCGGCCCCAAAGAAACGGTAAATGGACAGCATCCCCAGCCTCGTCCGGCATAAGGGGATCAAAGAACAGCGGCCCCAAAGAAGGGATAAAAGAACAGCATCTCCAAAGAAACGGTAAAAGAACAGCATCCCCAGCCTCGTCCGGCAAAAGCGATAAAAGAACAGCATCCCCAAAGAAGGGATAAAAGAACAGCATTCCCAAAGAGCCAGCACTCTGAAAGCCAAGGGGGACAACGAGCAGCTGTGATGGAGGCAGTTAAAGCGTCTACATTTGCTGATAGCCAACTTCACATCCAAAGAATTCCTACAAAATTTGTGTTGCTGGATTCACCGAGAAATCCCCAAGTGGACTTTCCTTGTTACGAGGTTGGTGCTGAGTGGTTGCACCAGTACACACTATTGTTGACATATTTCTTCTTCAAGCTATAAAAGCATTTCATTGGTAGAGCAACGATTTTTGATTAGAATCCCATTGATGAGAAGGATTTTCCCACAGGAACATGAGACTTGTTACAAAATCTGCACTTTATGGCCAAAATCGGTGTAGATTGTGATAAAGTAACCAGCACTTAATGCTAAATTACTTTTAAAATAAGCTGGACCAGATTTTAATCAAGTCACACAACAACTGCCATTTAGTAAAATAAAAACAAGTCAAATTTATTCTTTGTATAAAACAAGAGAAGCAAATTAGGCAGACAAGAACTTGGCTATGTACCTAAAACAAAACCTAAAAGATGAGAAGACTCCTAGTGCCTCACCTTGAAGGCAATACTGAGAGACTAAGAAGTAATTCTTCCTTTTATTAACTGATAGTTAATATAGTGAAACAAATTCAGTACCATTTCAGCCTGCTTCATTCACCATTTAACAGGTGTTTGTTGACTGCCATCCATCTTTTGACAACACAAAAATAGTAACTTCATCAAATCTCAATGTTCTAGCATATAAAAGATAAGCATTACAATGTCAGCAAGATTCTTCAGTTGTAGAACAAAAAGAACGTTTTGGAAAACCAATTCCATTCACATCTACTAAAACTGCTTTAAAAAAATAAATAATTAAGTACAAACCCCACTGTCATACACTACTGTATTACAAATGGATGAAGCAACACCTCCATGTTCATGCACAGCTCAGCTGATCCCTTATAAAACCATGTGTCATCACCAGATTTTTTATTTAGGACACTTACTCATTATTTGGGCTAGGGGCATTATAATTTTCACATGGAAAAATGTTCCATCAAAAAGGGTGAAATGAGGTTCCTCCAGCAAAGAGAGTAACAGAACATTTCAAATGCAGTGGTTATCTGCATTTAGAAGAATTTTAGTTTTACTGAACCAACAAATTGAGACATTTGATACAAATGGAAGGGAAATGGCCAAACATTACCCACAGATGGTCTGTAAGAGTCACAGACAGCAAAGGCAGAAAAAGCAACCCCACATTTACAGAAATCACCTCTGCTTTGGATGCTCCAAGGCCCTGTGCCCCATGGGGCACTCCTTCCACGAGCTGTGCTGACCCAGAGTGTGTTGCTGGTTTGAAATGCAGCCCTGGCACTGTCACACCCACCCTCCCCACTGCCAGCTTTGTCCCCACACCCCGGGAAGGCGGCTCCTCGCTGCTCCCAGGAAACAGCCCAGGAGAGACAAAGCCAATGTGCAGATTCCTCAGATACTGGCTCAGCTATCTTTTACTTCCTCCCAAAGTTCACGTAGCAGCTGTGCTGCTCCTTGTTTCTCCTGCTCCCTCCTCCCATCCCCGAGTTTTTCACTGCTCTCAGCTCTATGTCCTGCGTCGTTTGGCGGCGCTGGGACTCGAGGGGTTGCTGTTGGCATTTAGAACCTTCTCGGTGACTCTGTTGCGCTTCCTCTTATCAGACCCTTCTTTGGATCCAGGATCTGATGAAGTTTTCTCTTTCTCTTTGCTGCTTGGCTTTTCAGTTGTTTTTGCTAAACTTCCAGAGGGTGCAAAAACTGAAATAGGACCAAAGTAATGATTCCAGATCAGAGTCATACACATAGGCAAACAAGAGTGATATCAAACTTCTTTATATTCCATAAAACTTCTCAAAACAATCCACTCTCAGCATACTTGTCCATCATTTAAGTCTTACTTTCAGTTCTAAAGGAAAAATCTCTGAGAAAGGCACATCTTGCTTTTATTTGCTTTAAAGACAGGCATATATTTTGACAAGCTAGAGATCAAACTCATTAAGTGGAATTAAACAGCACTTAATATTAAAATAATTTAAAGGAACACTTACAGAAACATAGGACCAATCTATGGAATTTAAAATCAGCAGCAGTCATTACATTTGGTACCATAGATAATTTTAAAACTGAACACCCAAAAATTTAATATCTTTTAAAATACATTTTAGATCTTTTATTACAGTCTTAAACACCACTTATTCAGTGATATAAATATGATGAAATTATATAGTTAGCAGTTGGCTTGGTCTGTTAAGATAAATAGCAGGATCTCTACTGTTCACATTTGACTTGTTCTACAGCAAAGTGTTAGGAAAACAAGCCTTTTATTTAAAAGCAGCAAGGTAATGAAAATAAAATAAAATAAACACTCTGCCCACCTTCTCATTTCAGCATGCAACTTTACAATCTCTTTTGATTTATAGGCCCTATTTCCCCCATGACTACAAAGTCCCAACACAGAGCATTTAAGTTCAAAGAAATCATTCAGCTTTCTTCCAGAAATCCTCAGATTCCTTCAGACTCCCAGGGGTTTGTCAAGGACATATTAAAGCAAAAAATTTCCAAAGCTATACAACTTTGTACAGATGAATTAGGAGCAAAGAAGAAATCTTTTCAATAAGCAGCTGCTTACTCTGTGCACTCTTAAATTAGTCAAGTTCTTAGCATGAGCACAGGCTAAGTCTGAGTACAAATCACAAAGTACACTGCATTTGGATTTACATTTTAACATTAATTTCTCAATTACAGTTGATTTTTAATCTCGTATTACACAGTAGAGAGTTACAAAATTACCTTCTTCAGGACCTGCATGTGTTTCCATCTCTTCTTTTAAAATGTCCTCTTTCACTTCTTCTTCCATCATTACTTTTCCTACAGAAAGGATTGTTAGCAATGGTTAGATGGTTTTAAAAAAAACACGTGATTTTTTTCTGGATTAGTAGCCTCTGCATATTTGCAAATATTCCACGCAACATTCAGCAGTAATTCAGTGTCAAGAAATTGTTACTAAAATGAGAAAGTGAAATACTAAACAGGCAAAACATATTGCAATGTCTTATCTGTACTAAGATTTTACACTGAATTTTTAGTGTAAAGTTTAGTGTACCCAGTAATTGAGAAGCATTCCACTGAAGTTTAAAATATCCCAACAAGTCCTTTGGCAGGTGCTTGAACTGCCTAGTTCCTGTTTTGGATAACACGTATTAGCTAAATTTCAAAATCCAGTTCTCACTGCTCAACCTGAGATTTCTTCAAGCTCCTGCACATTTCTATTAAATTTGACAATCATGCTTTTTTGGAGGAGTTTTGTTAAAGATTTTGGGATGAGATTAAAGCAATCAAGAATCGAAGACTGCAATCACATCTCACCTTCTCTCACTTCTTGAATCATTTCGTCAGGAAGAGCAAAATTCTTCTCTATATTGGGGAATGGAAGAATCTCAGATTCATGCTTAGAAAGAAAAGAAGAATCTCCGTGAGTGACTGGTAAAAGACTTTAATTTGAATTTTGACATGCAATCTCAAGTTCTATTTTACATGCAATTAAGAGCTAAATATTTTTTAACAAGACGCTTCAGATGTTAGAGAATCAGGAGGCTTCTGATATCAAAGTGATTACTAAGGTCAGGATACCTGAGATCACAACTCAGGATCATTTGAGATCATTTTCGGAACCCAAACATAGCAAATTCTTATGTAAACACATGGTAACTTTCTCATTTGACACTTATGTATGTATCTAAACATCTTCTGGATCAACATTTAGGCAACTTTAATAAAGTCAGAAAACAGCATTAAAAAAAACCCGAAAAACCATCACAAGCCACAGCAGGTTTTATTGTCTCATATCTAATCTACTTTTATTTAGAAAAAACCCCATCAACTCACTGGAATGACATCTAATTCTAAATGCCATGAAAGGTACGACAGGCTCAGTGATTTTGGCATGTCAAAACTTCAGAACTCCATGAAACCATGTGGCAGCACCAACCCTTTATACTCACAAGAGCCTGCATATCATACATGGTGCTCAGATGGTCCCAGATCACTTTGGATGAGATCTGCCGTCCGATATTCTGGCTGAATTTATCCCGGATACAAATCATGTGGAAATGGCGATTCACACCTGAGAGAAGAACCCAACACTGTTAACAGTTTTACTTACGATATTTAGAGATATAAATAAATTAATTGATTTACTTATGAATTTAAAAAGCCTTGTTATAAGAAATCCATACATTACAGGATAGACAGCCGGCAGGCTGATCTTTCATCCTGCACTGCAGGTGCTGTTCTCTAGAGAGATGAAGGTGTCCCTGTGGGTAATTCTAACACACAGCCAAAGCTTTTAGAGGGGCTGTGTGAGAAATATCCTAAGGAAAGCATAGGGAGTGCTGTGTCAAAGTCTGGGCTCCTGAGTACAAGAGAGACACAGAGCTCCTGGTGTGGGTCCACTGAGGACAACAGAGCTGAAGGAACTGGAGCATCTCTCTGACAACGAAAAGCAGAGGGAGCTGGGCCTGTTCGGCCTCCAGAAGAGATGTCTTAAGAGGGCACCTCAACAATGTTTATGAATATTTAATGGCAGGTGCCAAGAGGATGGACCCAGGCTCTGCTCGGTGGTGCAGAGCAGTAGGACATAAAGCAATGGGCAGAAACTGCTGCACAGGAAGCTCCACCTGAATACGAGGAAGAACTTCTTTACTGCGAGCACTGGAACACACTGCCCAGAGAGACGGTGGAGTCTCCCTCACTGGAGATACTCCAGAACGGCCTGGACACAATCCTGTGCCGTGTCTCGGCAATGACCCAGCCTAGGCACACTTCCCCGTGCTCGCTGCAGCCGGACCCGCTCTGTGATGCAGTGAGGGCGCAGTGCAGCCTCTCACACGGCGGCTCAGAGGCCCGGCCGGGCCCGGCGCTCCCTCCCACAGGCCCCGCCGCGGCCGCCCGGGAGCCCTCCCGCCCGGCCCCGCTCCCCGGCCCCGCTCCCCGGCCCGGCCCCGCCGCTCCCGCAGGCCGCGGCCCGCGCTTACCTACGGGCTTGTGGCCCAGCATGGCGTGGAACAGGCACACCTCCACCTCCGGGCTCCACACCACCGCCGCCTCCTCCGCCGGCGCGCCGGGCTCCGGCCCGCCTGCCGCCGCCGCCGCCGCCGCGGCTGCAACAGCGGCAGCGACCGCCGCGGCAGCCCCGGGCCCGGCCGTGGGCAGCGCCGGCTTCTCCACGGCGGCGGCCGAGCCGCCCTCCGCCTCGCTCATCCCCGCCGCGCCGCGCCCGCAGCGGCTCCTGCCGGCCGGGAGCCGGGCACGGCCGCGCGGGGCCGGGCCGCGCCTGGGGCGGGGGAGCCTCGGCGGGGCCCCGCTGGTCCGGGCGGTTCCTCCGGACGGGGCCGCCCCGCGATCGCAGCGCCGGAGGCGGGACCTGGGCGCCGGCGCCAGCCCCGAGCGACGGGCGAGGCCGCGGCACTGGCCGGGAGCAGCCTCGCGGAGCTGTGGGGAGAGCTTGGGGAACATCTGGAGAGAGCGTTAGGGGCGTCCGCAAGTGCTTTATGGGGCTCTGGGCAGAGCCTCATGGACCGCGGTCATGTTTCAGGGTCTCTCGGGCCAGTCCTGGAGGAGCAGAACCCTGCCCTCCCAATGGGCTTCGCAGGGCTCTCCTCTGAATTTTGAGATCCCTGGCGCTGGGGTGGCGGCACTGGGAGATCCCAGCGGGGCTCAGGGTCAGCCCTGCTGCCCAGGAGGCCTCGGCCACCCCAGTGCTCGGTGTGCGAAGTCTTGACCAGTTCAGCATTTGCCCTCGTGGCCTGTCCTTGTGTGGCGGTGGAAGGATGTCCCGAGCACTGCCAGCCCTCTGATCACTCCTTATCACAACGCGATCGTTTTATATCAAATACCAACCTGGCGTTGATGCTTGACAAATAACTCTGCCTGGCTTGGTTACAAAACACGGAACCTTTGCCCAGCAGCTTTGCCCATCATTTAAGATGGAAAAAAAAATTGTTTGGGAAGAAAGGGAATGTATCATTCCCTCGAAGATAAGGGGTTTTTGCCTTGTTAGGTATAATTAGACACACAGGCATGAAATAAGACTCTGTTGCTTAGGTGATAGGGTTTTCCAATTGCTCACTCCTCACTTGAAGATTTAATCCATTTTGTGACATTAAAAGTATTTCAACAGCAAATAAAGATCACATCATATGCAAGGAATGAGTGTTCTGAGTGAATAATGAAGCTGTGGGAGCAAACACTCACAAGCAGAGACTTTATTTTAATGCAAATTATCCAAATAATAAAAAGCAGGAAGGAAAAGATGCAATTTTCTGAAATTGAACTTTCTGTACCTGCTCATAGCCAAAGAGCTGACTCGTATTATTGTTTTGGGCTTAATGTAATTAATACCCCAAACAGCTTAATCTAACATTAAATAAACATTTGAAAGGAGTTAAACCCAAAACCTCACATGTGAAGCCTTGGGAAGTTTGGTAATGTGAATCCTGGATGTGGAAAAATCCTCTTTTCCAGTGGGGTTCAGTCTGGCCTCTTGGAATGATTCTGTGACTCCAGTCTGCCTTAGATGCTGTTGAAATTCTCCAGGAACAGCCTTCTCTGAGACCTCCAGAGTGACAAGTGATCCTGCTGGCATGACTTACCTGCCCCAAGACTACAGGAATCTCAGAAATATTCATTTTTCCTGCTGTCCCTGCTGTACCTGTGTCCTGGCTGTGCTGGACCTGCCTTCATACATCCCAGGCTTCACGCTGATTTCCTCATTTTGAGCCAAAATCACCTATCAACAGGACTTTGCCAATCTCAAACACAGATCCTCATGTTTTTGCAGTTAAACCCAGCCCTAAATCTCAGTCCTGTTTAATCTCTCAGTGTTTATTTGATCTATGCTCCTGCCTAGTCTTCAGCTGCTACTGAGAGCAAGGCTCATGATTTCCTGCGATGGCTGCACAGCAGGAGGAAATGAGTTCCTGAACAACTAAATCCCTGTTTTCATACATGTTTCTAGGCATAGAAAAATGAGGGGAGAAAGAAAAGCAAATAAATTTCTGAGTATAAAAAATTGTTCCCCAGTAGAATAGTTTTCAAAGTTTTGCAGGAATAACTTACTTTTAAGCCTGTGTGAGACACTGAGTGTCAGCACTGTCAACTGTCACATTATGCTCCTACTTAAAGACATCAAGAGGGAATAACTGTGTCAACTCAGACAGAAATTTTTATGTCACTAAGTTCTTATGGCTAAAAAAAGTAACGTGAAACAGAATATTAAAAATCCTAAGTCTACCTCTGAAAACACAAAAGCATCTGAAAATAATTCAGTAGAATAATATTGATGCAACAGGAGCAGTATGTGCATAAACTGGGTGTTCTTTTGTTTTAATCACAAATAATTACATTTCCCCGTGTCTAAATTCCCTTGTCATGTTCAATGCCTCTAGGAAACATATGGGAGCCTATAATAATGCCATGTATAATCTCCACCTGGATCTTGACCAGAGTTTAATTTTCCCCTCATTAAATTTGACTGGGATTTTTCCTTTTTTTTCAGTCACCGAACAGATTTTTCAGAAAAATTTACACTTCTCTCATTCAACTTTAAATCCAACTTCTGGGTTTTAGCAGATATGGGCTGTGTAAGACGTGCATGATTTTATTAATTCCTTTTTCTTCATACTCTTAAGGCTGCTTTCAGCCTTAAAAAGCTGGTTGTTGTGTCACCTAAGGGTGCTGAGCTCTTGGCTGGATCAGTGTTTCCACCCCAGAAGATGATCAGTAATTTCCTAAGACTTTGCAACAACTGAGAAATCCGCCTGGCATTTGGCATTCTCCCTAGAAGTGTTGGATTTCTGGGATAAGCAATATGGCTACAACTATTTCTGTCATTATTTTAGAACACCATGTGCTAGTGCCCTTAACAAAGCAAAAATTTCATTCCAAATCCCGAAATTTTTGGTGTGCTTCATGAACATTTGTAAAAGAGTATAATCTGCATACTTTTGCATTAAACCCAGCCCTTTAACCTTAATCTATATCTTGGATATAGAATCTGACAAAATTTTTCTTACATAGGTAAGAAGTACATGCAGAAGGACATTTTTCTGGAGCCTCTTCCTGCACCAAATTACTCTGAGATCCATAAATCCTCCTACAAAATAAGTAATCTCAGTACTTTGGCACATTCCAGTATTTCTGAATAAAATATCTTTTGTGACTTACAAGGACCTCCTGAAGAGAAGAGTTTTGATGTGATTTGTAAGCTTTAGCTGTACTTTCAATTTTTTTTTTCAGTGTGAAATCTGCAGGAAGTTTTGCTTTAACAGAGCTGCCCAGGGAAGTGTCCAAAACTTGGAGCTTATTTATTTTGCATATCTTTTAATAAATCAGCAAAGATAGTTTGATCTGAGGATGGTTTTCTCTGTGTTAAACCTGTAAAGGAGGAAGAACCACAAAGATAAAGCTGTTTGTTTTCAGTCTTTTCACAAAGCCCTTTAGAGCAGCATTGCCTCTTCCTCTTCCAGTTAATTACCTTTTTCCTTTGCTTAAAGGTATATTTGATTATATTAAACAAGGACTGAATGGAAAATTCACTCTCAGATCTGCCCTGCATGGCTTCTTACTGGTGCAAAATAGGGAATTAAAATCAAAATAAGGGTGAAGCAACAAGGCTGAGGGCAGCAGCTGTCAGACAGGGAATCTGCTCTGCTCAGACATATGTTCTCAAACTGAATTTTTCCCTTGTGATCAGTTATGCTCGTTCTCCCAGTGGAGAGAGGCTTCATTTTAGGTGGGCATCAGATGGCAAACCTTGGAAAAGTAGCTGGAAACAGTGCAAATAATTATCTCTGAGCATGCACAGAGGGGTTTGTTACTGCTGCTGTTGTGCTTTAAAATATCCCAGCACAGAGGGGATTGGAGAAGGAAAAGCCATCTTACTGATTTTTTAGTTTAATAAATCCATCATAGCCCAGGCTTACAGAGAGGCATAAAGATGAACCAGTGGATTTATAACGAACAAGCTCAAGGTGAGCACAAAGATCAATTCCTGAATCCTTGGCTAGCCCAAGTCAACATCAGAGCATGTTTTACTGAAGGTGATTTTTACTGATAGTGCCTGAGTGTCAGCCAAACTAAAGTGCTGTTAGCCCAGCTGGTCAGGACAGATCCAAAAGGAATTCCCTTACGTGACAGTTTCAGCATTGTGATTAGGATTGCTCAGCTCATCCTTTTCTTCTCAGGGGCATTAAAAAAATTACTTTAAATAATTTATTTAAAAAAAAAATTTAAAAAAATTATTTTTCAAACTACAACTACTAGTTTGTAAAATAGCAAAGAGCCAACATGAGCAGAAAGGATCCTGAGAAGGGAAGCAGGGAAGCACTAACCCTGCCTGGCTGACATTAGAACACAGCCGCACTCAGCGATCGCTGTGGCAGAGGGTGGCAGCAGATTTTCATGAAGCACGTGTGCTCCTTTGAGCACACCCAGAACTACTCAGGGGTCTGGGACAGATCCTCTTAGGGCCCTTATTTTCTGGCATTTCATTTTTACTAATGGAATTCACAAGCACCTTTCAGCAGCATCATCCCTTAGGCTACAATGTGTGGGTGATGCCTGAAGTTGTTTCCTGGGATGGATCCGAAGCAGGGGCAAAAGGGACAAACTGCAGGCACAGCCAGGCAGGCAATGCTGCTGGCACAGAAAACAGCACAGAAAGCTGTGGAAGGAACAAGTCTGCTTGAAACTTGGCTTGCAGTGATGATAAATCAGTAGAACCAGCCAGGCCTAAGGCAGGTAACTTGTCAAGAAATGTCTGAATTTGTAGAAATAGGTCTCTAGAGTCAGTGTGTCTCTGAAACAAGAGTCCACAGAGTTCTGCTAACTGGACTTTTTTTTCTCAATGGCCATGGAAATAAGTCTTGTCCCATCTCCTGTTTTGTTTTATAAACACTTCTGGTTTGATTTGAAATTTTCATTTGATTTACAGAAGCGAAACAGAGTTGTGTAATTCCATCTTTCCTCAAGGTGCAAAGTATCTAATTACTCACAGTAGGGAATGCTTGATAAACCAATACATCTCATCCTGGAGTTTTATCTGTTGAACCAAATTCCTCACTGTCCATCACCTTGAGAAGAAATTGGATTCTCAGAAATCATCAGTATATTTGCAGTGGTTCCATTGGTAGGAGATGTTCTTAACCTGGGTCACTTTGCCTTTAACCAGGCAGATGCAGCCCTGGATCAGAGCAACTTTG